AATTAAGTATAAAATTTATCAATATAAAAAATATATTGAATATATTGAAAGTAATTTTTCATAATCATAATTTTTTAGTTATTAACAGATGACTATGTTAAAGCATTTAACACACTCATTAATTTTATTCATGATTCCTATATAAATTATTCTTTAGAAAAAACTGAATCTTTATCCGAACTTACTCATTTTTCAAAAGTTGCTATTACAACAATGATTAATCCTATTATTGATGAGATAAAAGAGTAAGTTCTAATTTTTTTCGTATTGATTGTAAAATGCAATTTTTTTATAAATAAATTTTTAGGTCTTTATCGACATCTATATTAAAAAAAAAAACCTTATTGCGAATGTATGGTGTTAATTCATGGAAAGATTTAATGCCTAGTCAAAAAAGTTCAATTAATATTGATAATTAAATATATGTTATTTGATTATAAAATTATATATGCCATTATATTTCATAATAAATTATAATATTTTATTTTCAATTTATAATATTTTATTTTTATCTTTACTAAATTATTTGTAATTTTATTGATTATGTACTTATTTAATATAATAAATTTTATGTAGAATGAACAAATTTTATTAAAAATACTTTTATATAAAGAACTTTTAATTTATTTATGTTATTTCTTATTTTATTTATTTAAAAAAATATAATTATATATAATAATATATATTATATATATATATAATTTAATAAAAAATAATTAGATTTTTTGCAAGAAATTTGTTAAAATACTAAATAATTATTTTTTTAAAAACTGATATTGAATCACATAGACATATATATATATAATTTAATGTTATATTAAATTATTATTATTATATAATATATATATATAATATTATATATTAATAATTATATAATATAATATTATATATTATATTATATAATTAATTTAATATATATATATAATTTAATAAAAAAATAATTGGATTTTTGCAAGAAATTTGTTAAAATATTAAATAATTATTTTTTTAAAAACTGATATTGAATCACATAGGCATTTTATCAATAGAAGAAAGATTGTTTAAAAATGATATATTTGATTGTTCTATAATTATTTATAAATTTATGTTATATTTGTATTTTCCAAAAATAATTTTTGATTATTAAATGTAAAGAAATTTTCGTTAATTTAAGGTAAAAAATTTTATAAAATTGCAAATCTTGTTAAAGTTTTGCTTAATTGTCAATAATATCTATTTTAGAATGATTTATTTGAATTCATATTTTTTGTAATATGTTGTTTTCGAAATTTAATTTTTTTAATAATTCATAATTTTTTAATTAAACTTGAAAAACTGTACATTGTGATTCTTTAAAATCAGATTCATTATATATATTAAAATAATATTTCATATGATCATTTAAATTTTGCTTTTGTCTAAATATCAATTACAATAAATTATAATGATTACATCTAACAATAAAGTAAAATAAAATTAAATAAATGAATGTAACATAGAAATTAAAAGCCTTTAAAAATTATAACTTGAAGTTTAAGAAATTATTAAAAGAACAACTTATTGAAGTTATATCTTTTTAAATTTTTTTATTTTATTTTTAAATTATTTTCAAATAAAATCATGAATTAGATCATGAATTTTTTAGTAAGCAAACAAACTGTATCGTTTTACAAAATATTTTCCATATACTGTAAAATTATATGGTTTTTCATCTATATGAAATTTCGCATATGCTTTTTTAAATGAAATGTTGAAAATAAAAATAAATCACACATCTAAAATATAGAGATTAAAATATATATTAAAATAAATAGATCTTAGTATATGTACAAAACTTTTTGTATATTATTTATTGCTATACTGAATATTTATAAGATTTCTTTCCATTAATTTATGCATCTTATATGATATATATCATATATAAATCTTTTACTATACAATTTACATTGATAATGCATTTCATCAATATGCATTAATAAATATCTCATAAGAGCTCTTTTTTGCATAAAATATTTGTTACAAAAGTTACATTGAAATGGATTTATTTATTATGTATTCCAATATATATTTCTAATGCATGTTTATATTTATATATACTTGACTACATTTTTCATACATATATATTTTTTTAAAAGTTGAATGAGTTTTGATATACATTTTTAGTTCATTTGTTTTCTATCTTTTAGTAGATAAAAATATTTAAATTTTTTTAAATCATATTTTAATATGATTCCTGATTCTATAAATACTTTTATTTGATCAACTATTGTTACAACTATTGTTATACATATATATATACATATATAATATATAAAAATTTAAATAATACAAAAATGTAATTAATGGATAAATAAATGATTAAAATTAAATTCAATAATAAGAAAAATAATTATTTGCAATATTTTCTTTTATTTCTCTAATATTTTTATTTTTTTTTTCACTTAAGATGGATATTTTGTATTTTATGTATGTAATTTGTATTTTTTTTACATTGTCACAAAATGTCTGGAATTTGCTTTTACAGAATTTTTAAATTCTTTTTTTTCAATACTTATAATATATAATTTTCTTCAATAATATGCATTTTTAATATATTTGCTAAAGAAATATAAAAAATTATTTTTATATTTCTAATGTATTAAATATATTTTTAATATTAATTTTAAATTAATGTACTCTATAAAAAACAAATATTACAATATTGACTTTAATAATTATCTTGTCAATTAATGTTATATATTATTATCAGTAATTAATGCTATCAATTCATTTTTGCTATCATTTTTTTTTATTATTATAAATATTATTAATTGATTTTATGTTATCTACTTTATTGTAGTTATATGTGTTCTTTTTAAACTTTTCTTCTGATTCTATAAAAAATTTGGTATTAATGACATAATCTATTTGAAATACTTATATTTTGATTTATATTATCTATATTATCTTGAATACATTGTTATTGTTTTTTCAATTTTTTTTTCAATGATTTATAAATTCAATGCTTTCTTTAAATTCTTTTCATTATTTATTTTTTTCTTTATTTCCAATATTATATTGGAAATAAGAAATATATAATTATATTAGTATTGATATTCAATTTTATAAGAAGTAATAATTTTGTACTATTACTTATTGATTGCTTAATACTTTTTCTTTTTTCAGTATGATATATTTTCAGCATTTCATAATATATATTCAAAACAGTTTTTTATGCTTGTTTTAATTTGAAATAAATTATAACATTATAAACAAATATAAATAATAATTCAGAAATAGCTATACAAAGTACTCGTGATGTAGAATTTATTAAGGATTTTTCATGACAAGAGAAAAATGTAGAAAATATATTTATAGAAGATGAAGACAAAATATCAAGATTTATATCACATATTAAGCAAAAAAAATTATATTGGTATTTTTTTTACCAGAAAATTATAAAAATTTTTAATCAATTATTTAACTTTATTTTTATAGTATATTTACAATTATTATTTATTATTTATCATTTTATGATAAATAATAAATGTAAATATGATCATTTTATGCTATATTCATAAATTATTTTTGGATAGTATATTTCAAATATAAGCTCTATTATTTCTCGAAACATAATTTTCATAATTTTATACATGAAATAAAAAAATTTTGAATTATTTTCTGTTTTATAGAATTGATAAAAAAGTAATAAAATATATTTATTTTTTTAAATACAAATCAGATATTATATATTATTAAATATAAATAGTAACAATAATACATGTTTGAGAAAGTTATATATAATTTACATATAATTACTATAATTCAGATGATATATGATTTATAAAAATCTTTCTATATAATATCTATAGTATCTATACATATATAATGTATATACATTTTTATTAAATGTTTTTTATAAAATAATATTAAATTGAAATATTATAAATTATAATTAATAAAGTCAAAAAATAATTGATATTAAATAATTATGTTAATATTTATATTATTTAAAGAAACAGTTTTATAGTTTATATATATGAGGGAGGGAGGGAGTGAGTGAGTGAGAGAGAGAGAGAGAGAGAGAGAGAGAGAGAGAGAGAGAGAGAGAGAGAGAGAGTATAATAATGTTTCCAAGTATGTGGATATTAACTTTAGCTTCTAAATATAATCGTATTCAAAATCATATTTAAATAAAAAAAAAATAATTGATATTAAATAATTATTAAAATCTTTATATCAACATAGATTAAATATATTATTAATATATTATTTTTCTATGTATATCAATTTTATAATAAAATGTTTTGATATAAGAAATATTTTTGTTTTTATTTGTTTCAGAAATAAAAATTATTTACAATAATTGAAATATTGACTGCATTATATAATGATTATTTTTTTTGGTCTAAAAGACTAGATTACAAATCAATAAATGGGAAATTATTATATACTTTATAATTATTACATTAATATTATGTTTCATTTTAAAAAGAGTATTTTTATTCAATTATATTTCAAGATAAAAACATTATTTTGTATAACTGTAAATTTGAAAAAATTAAAAATTATATTATGTTTATATATACATAATATATATAATTATTATATATATTATATAAGATATGATATCAATATAAAAAGTGCAAATAAAATCTTTTTGTTTGAAGCTTAATTTTCAAAACAATCAAGCTAAAAATCTACTATATATATAATTACGATTAAGATACGATTTTTCATGCGAAATAAAATATCGATTTACAAATAATATTTCAGGAATTTTAGAATTGCAAAGAGAAAAAATAATTTTTTATTATGAACATTTTATTATTAGTAATATTTTTGAAAATATTCTTATTCTCGATATCCTAATTATTGTTCTTACTATTAATGTTTATACTTTTAATAATGTATTTTTAATTTTCATATCTCTAAATGCACAATTAATATATTCTATTGATATATTCTATTGATATTCTAATGATCTATATTTTGAATGTCTTCATTATTGTAATAAAATCGATATATTTCGTACAGAAAATCATATTTTAGTTGTAAATACATATATATGTAATAGATATAAAATCGATTACTTTGAAAACTAAGCCTTGAATAAAAAAATTTTATTCTATATTTCTTTTTTACAAGAAAAAAATGTCTCAATATCGTACGTTATACAAATCTTAATCTTAATCTTATCTAAATCTTATTCTAATTTTAAAATTTTATCTATGTCAGAATCTAAATCTGATATTTCTGATACAGATTCTGTATGTAAAATTTCAGACATTTTATCTGTTAAATTATATGATGCTGGTTGTGATAAATCATTTGGTTTTTTAGTATATGATAAAGACATTTGACCTGGGTTTATTACAAAAGAACTTATACTAGTAGGATTGATTTGTTCAATGCTCTTATTTTGATTTTTTTTATTTTGTATATACTTTGAAGAAAATATTGTTTCAACAGATCCTATAGGTTTTTGTCTCACCATATTTAACTGAAATAATATATTTATAATTGTTAGTATTAAAAAATAAATAATTTTTTAACATTTTACCTGTATTTCAAGTTTTTTTGATAGTTCTGCTATTTTATCACTTTGTGCAGTTTTTAGTATGATATTACTTGAATCTTTATAATCTTCTAATTGAGATAAATATTTTCGCTCATCAGAATTACTAAATAAATATAAAATTAAGTATAAATTAAAATAAAATATTTTTTATTTATAAAAAAATATTATTTATTTTTACATACCTTAAAGTATTCTCATATAATTCTTTTTTATCTTTATCATCATCAGAATATGATTCTTTATCCTTTTTATTTGTTAGATCAAAAATAACTTTTTTTTTTATCAAACTATTTGTTGAACCAGTTGTAGATTTTAGAACACTTTTATTATGTTTAGGTGATATAAAAATATTTTGTAATTCTTGTTGTATATTTGAATTATTTATATCATTGTTTTCAGTAGATTTGTAATTTGATATAGTTTTATTATTTGATATTACTTTGAATGTTTCAGAATTGAATATAGGTTTCATTTCATTCAAAAAATCTTTTTTTATTAAAAACTCTTGTAAATTTGTAGTATCTTGTATACTTTCCAAAGATTTTATTGAATTTGGAGAAATATCTATTAATTCTTCTACAGTTTTGTAATTTGCAATTTGTGTTTTTATAGGTAGTGATTCATTTTCAGTTATATTTTTAATAGAATCTTTAGTTTCTGGTGTAGAATAATATTCCTTTAATGTTATTGCTTGTAATGTAGAAATATGAGAATCTAGAAAAGATGTTTTTTTTTCTAAAAAAAAAAGTTAAATTTACATATGAAAAACAAAATTATAATTACCAGAATTTTGATTGCTTAATTCTTTTATTATTGGTCTACATAAAGATAACTTTTTATTATTTTTAAATAGTTTCATATTTTCTATAATTTTTTCTTTTTTAGATATTTTATTGAGAACTTCTTCGATTATTTTTAACTTAATTTGATGATATTTTGGTAATTTCTATGAATAAATAAATAAATTTAAAAAAACATTAATAAGTTATAAAAATTATAAATATTATAATGACATTTTACATATTTTTCTTACTTTTATAGCTAGTTTATGATGATGTTTTAAAATATCCATTTTTTGTTTAAAAGTTGTTTTTGGTATTCCTTGCCATTCTGGATCTATTCCTAAATCTTTTAATTTTTGCTCAAAAACATCCATTAAATTAGCCTGCAAACTCTTATAATTATGTTCTGTTATTTTTTTAGATTTTAAAGAAAATGGTAATTGTGTTTTATATTTATGCAATGAGGAATCATTGTGAATTGTAGTATCATTATCTATACTTGAATTAGAAATAAATGATTCTGAATTTGTTACAGAAGATAAATTCTCTTCTATAGATTTCAATGTTTTGATATTTTTAATGTCAGATAAAAAGTCATTAGATGTATTTTTATTAATAGCATTTTCTAGCTTACTTATATCAGATTTGTGTAAATCCATTTTTATAATTGATTGATTATATTTTCTATGTTTAGAATTATTTTCTTCTTCAAGTATTGAATCTTCTAAATCTGAAATATTACTTGAATTATAATATTCTAAATCTTTTTTGATAATTTTTATATGATCGAAGTTTTCGATATCTGGAATTTTTTCATATTTTTGTTTAATATTTCTCTTATTTTCATGAACAATGAATTTATTTTTAGAATTTAAAATTTGTGTATCTTTTAAAAAATCTGTATCTTCTATTGTTAATGGAAATACTTTACTTGATAAATTTGAAGTAATTGTAGTGCCTATTGCATTATTTTCAGTAATAATTTGTTCAATTGTTGTATCCACACAACTTTGTTTTAAATTATTTTCATCAGATTTTTTTGAAATTTCATTATCTAATATTATAGATGGACTACATTTTTGTAAAGAATTATTTTTCGAATCTTTATTTCTTACATTTAATTGTGAAATATTTATTTCGTGCGATAAGGAACTTAATTGTTTACTTTGTTCAATTAAAATATTTGATTGATTTGCCGTTTGACGTTCTAAATCATTAACTTTTGCTTCATATTTAGCTTTCATATCATCAGCTGCATTTTGTGTCAATTTCAATTCTGTAGTAAGTCTTTCAATATCTTTATGATGTTGATTTTCTAATTGTTCTATTTTTGATTTCCAATAATTTTCTTGATCATATAACTTTGTATGCATGCTTTCTATGTCTGGAGTAAACTATAAAATAAAATCAAAAAAAGTTGTCATCCATATTGTTGTATAATCATATTCATTATATGAAAAAATTTTTTACTTACTTTGTCAAGTAATTGATTTTTTAATTTTTGAAATTCTTTTTCTTGTTGACTTATTAATGCTTGGACATTTGTTTCAGATGTACGTTCATACATAATGTTCTCTTTTTGTCTTAAATTCTGTTAAAACATTTATTTATTATTATTATATATTATTATTTAAAATATTTTAGAAGTTTCCAAATTTATACATACATGTATTTCATCAAAGAGCATGATTTTTAAATTTTTTATTTCTTCTTGATATTCTTTATATTCTGAATGTTCTTTAGATTTGTTATTATCATACTTAAGATTTTCAATTTCATTTTCAGTTTGTTTTTTATTATAATTCAATATCTTTTTATCACAGATTCTTTCAGATTCATTTCTTATTACTTTTTCCGTTTCATTTAATCTTTCTTTTAAGTTTTTTATTTCATTATGTAACTTTTCAGTTTCATTGCGATAATGCTCATGTATAGGAGAAACAGACATATATAAATCTGATGTAAGTGTATGACGACGTATAATATGTGCACTAACAAACATAGAAGATATGAAAGATTTTGGACAATGTGGACACTAAAAGAATATTAATAATTTTACTTAAAAAAATTATAAATATTAATAATTAAAAATATTAATAATTTTACTTAAAAAAATAAAATAATAAATAATATTTTTACATATATAATTAAAGCTTTTCTTTTAAGAAAAATATATCTAAAATATATTTATTATGCAATTTTTTTAATAATTAATACATCTATTTTATTTACATTATATTTTTAAAGAAAAACTTCAATTAAAATAATTAAAATAATATTTACAATTTTCTTACTTTATATATTTCACCATTAGTATCTCCAATTTTAGTTTCTATTAATTTACTTTTTTCTTTTACTTTTTCTTTCATATGTTTCACTATTTCTTCTAAAGTAGCTATTTCTTTTTTTAATTTAACATTTTCTTCAATTTTTAATTTTAGTTCATCTTTTAATATCATTACACTATGATCTAAATATTGTTTACAATATAATAAATATTCAACTGCTAACTGTGCAAGACAAAAGAGTTTTACAAAATTTGGATCCAAGATTTTAACATCATATTCACTTTCTAAACAATAATCTATTACATTGTTTATATTTTCATCAATAGAATGAAAATCTCTTTCTTTTATAATTCGATCTATATCTATATTACCTAAAACAATATAGAATTATAAATAAATTAAATAATGCTACTAAAACCATTTACATACATACTTATACGATTCCAATCTACTCTTATTCTGGATCTATGCATATTAAAATAAAATCCAGATTCCTTTGCTAATTTTGGAAAATCATGGCACCATTTGGTACCAATACGAAATGAAAATGCCATTATTATATTTATAAGTTTAATGATACATGTACATTATTTGTGGTTGTGATTTTATAACTGTTAATTAATTAAGAATATAAAATATATTATTAATATCATATAATATTATTAATATTACAAATTTTCATATTTATAAATAAATAACATTGTTGTAAGAAAAAATAAATAAAATAATTATTCGATGTTTTTATACATTTTGAAGGTTAGAGGAAAACGTAAACAAAATTTAACAGATTTAATTTCTAGGGGATACTATCTATAGTTATATGTATATTTATAGGTTTTATTTTTACACTTTAAAATTTCATTGAAATATAATATAGAAAGATTAAAGAAAATAATAAAATGAATAAAATAATCAATTAAAATATATAAAATATAAAAAAATTTGATATTATATATTATTTTATAAAAAATTTTAATAATTTCATTAAATCATTTAAATAAATAAATTCGTAATTTAAAAAAAATGAAATGAATTTATATTGAAGTAATGTTACATGACTTATTTATAAAAATATAAATGAAAAAAATATTGCATATGAAATTTAATATTTAATTTTTATATATATATTTATATATATATTTTATATATAAATTGAATAATAATTTAAACATATTTTATAAGAAATAAATTTAATTAATTCAGTATATTTAAAATAAGATAAAGTTAAATTTTTTTAAAAATAAATTATTAATTCATAAAAAAAAACAAATAAAATAAAAAATATAGTACGTAATAAATTAGTAACTGTATAAAAATATTTGATTCGTTTAGATTTTTTAGCGTTCTTAGTTTTCTATATATTTCATGATTTTCCTTCTTCCCGACCGGTACCACCATCTTGTTTGTTTCATCAATAAAGAGAGTGTAAGACTTAAGAGACGATTAAAGTTTTTAGAAGTGTTTTTTATTTGTGTCTTATATACAGTAAATTATAATACAAACTTTGAATATGTCTCACGGTGGTAGAAATGAATGTAGAATTTATGTAGGCAATTTACCTCCCGATATTAGAACGAAAGACATTCAAGATCTTTTTTATAAGTTCGGTAAAGTTATTTTTGTTGATTTAAAAAATCGTAGAGGACCACCTTTTGCTTTCGTCGAATTTGATGATCCAAGGTACGTTGATAAATTATAATTAAAAATTTTTCATTTTTTGTATTATAATACTGTATATGTATATAACATTGAATATTATATCTATTGTTTTATAATATATTCTTTCTCATTAAATAAAAAATATTAAATGAAAAAATACTTTAAAAATTTATAATTTAATTAAAATAAAATTATGTTCATATTATATCGAGTATTAATTCAAGTTTGGATTTAACATTTTGGAATTACATAAAAATTACATAAAAATTATATTAGATTTGTTACTTTATAAGTAATTTTTTTCAGAGATGCTGAGGATGCAGTACATGCAAGAGATGGATATGATTATGATGGTTATAGACTACGTGTAGAGTTTCCAAGAGGTGGAGGTCCTAGTAATAATTTTCGTGGTGGTCGTGGAGCAGGAGATAGTGGAAGAGGTGGTCGAGGTGAAATGAGTAATTCTCGAGGACGTGGACCACCTGCAAGAAGATCTCAATATAGAGTTCTTGTTACGGGTCTGCCTCCTTCTGGTAGTTGGCAAGATTTAAAGGATCATATGCGTGAAGCTGGTGATGTTTGCTTTGCTGATGTTTTTAAAGATGGTACTGGAGTTGTAGAATTCTTACGATATGAAGATATGAAGTATGCTGTAAAGAAATTAGATGATTCAAGATTTAGGTCTCATGAGGTATAAATTTATTTAAAATAATGTATATGATTTATACATTTCTAATATCTTTTATATTTTTGTATTAGATAATTTCATTTTTATTTATAGGGTGAAGTAGCATATATTCGAGTGAAAGAAGATCATAACAGTGGCGACAGGGGACGCAGTGAAGATAGGGAAAGAGGTCGAAGTCATTCACGAAGCTATAGTCCACGGCGTCGTGGTTCACCTACCTATTCACCATTGCGACGTAATTACTCGCGATCAAGATCTCGCTCCAGATCTCGTTCATACGACTAGTGTGTACGTATATGTTTCACATGGTAATATAAGTAAAGGCTTATCAATATTTGCTTTACCATGTTTCATTATTACTGATTTAAATTTCACTTAAAGACACCTTCCAATCCAAACCAATTTTGTACAAATTATAAAATTATTTCTATGTTGCTTGAATTTAATAATTGTATTGTATCTAATGTATAGTTAGAGCACGGTTCATTTTACATATATCAAAACTGTTTTTTCAAAGATTTTGTCATTTTCTATTTAAATATTCTTAGCTTATATCTATTTATTAACAATTAATCTAAGAATATATCATCCTTTTATAAGTCCACAATTAAAAATGATTATTTAAATAAACCTGAAAGAGCAGTTAGATTTTTCAACAGTAAATATTAACAAAGTTTTATTATCTTAATTTTTTGTCTTAATAAAGAAGAATCGTGCTCATATTAATTGCATACTATTGTTGAAGAATATTGATTAGAATTATTTTTATGTTTGAAAATACATTCCTTTATATTTTGCAATTCGTTTTGACACTACAACTATAATTGAGATGTGTAACAATTTTGAAGTATTACAAATGAAAATTTAAAAAGAAATAACTAATATTATTTTGGTTCACATTGGTAATAGTATTTATTATATAGTTACCAATATAATCTACATTCAGTGTGAATGTTTTCTAATTTAATATATGATCATTTGCATTGCATTGTTTAATATCATTGGTACCTATATTATAATACTTGATGTGATCGCGATTTTTTTTTCATATGTTTATTCAAATTTGCAATTGTGAATACAGCATTTTATAGCATATATATAATATGAAATTTTTTAAAGCTTCTAATGTTGAATGCTTTATTATATATATATATATATATTCATAAAGCTAACACTTTTTTACTGATAACAATTCTAAATTATTTTACATATATTAAAAAAGTAATTAATGCGATAATGATAATAATAAACAATAATATTTTTAATGAGCATATATAATATGCAAAATATATAACAAATGAAAAATATTGTATTAATCATTTGAATTTTGTTTTCATTAAAAATCAAAAGATTTTTCAATATAATTATGCAAAAACTTTAAAATTTTTTCTTTTATTGCATATAATTTTAAAATATTTGATAAACAATTTGATGAAATATATTAAAGAAATATATATATAAAAAAATCTTAAATTCATTATAAAGTTATATTTTATTTTATATACACAAATTATAATTAATTCTTAAAATAATTATTATATAAATAAATACATCAAAGTTGTTTACACGGCTCATCGTCGTTTAAGTTATCACACAAATTTAAGTACATTTATTTTAACTATCTAGTGATGACAATACAAAATATTATATGTATTAAAAATATAACACTTAATATCTAGATAATGTAATACATCGATATCTATCGACGGATGACATATAGAACATATTTGATAAAGATAGGTCAAAAATTTATTTTTTACTAATAGATTAATATTCATATGACCAATTTGCTTTGGAAAAACTGACATAACTCATTTATTATGCATTGATATTGTTCATTTAATATAACAACAGCTTAAAATATGTTTTATTTGAGTGTCCTTTAACGACGATCATTGGGCCATCTTTTTGATTTGATAAAAAAGCTGTGTGTTATGTGTCACTTTAGAATGAAAAAAACAAATATCTAATTCATATTGAAATTATTATTAAGAATACAATAATATGTCTGTTATTTTGAATGTCTGTGAAATATTAAAGTAAATTTTAAGTTATACACGATATATCCTGAGAAATGTGTTTTTATATTTGGCACTTACAAATGATACTCTGCTACACATTTCTCGTTTTCCTTTTAAAAATTATACAGACGAAAATTCTATAAATTTTGCAATGCCTAAAAGCATACATTTTTTTAGAATTCTCGATTGTAAATTAAAGATGTTGAAGGAAAACAATGATTTCGTGTATTATTGAGAATATTATTATTGCAAATTGATCTTGTGATTTCTGTTTCCTTTTTACATTATTTAATATGGATATGTAAAATAATTCTAAATTTAAATTAAGCAGATACAAAGTATTGTTCTGTATAGTATTTGCTCAATTTATAAAATATAATATTTAAATATTGTAAGTCACAAGCATTATATTTGCAGTAATAAATTTTATATATAACATTAATGCATATTGTATAAGGGACTAATGTATTTTTTCTTCTTTTGTATATTGGATTGGATTGTAACACAATGAATGAAAAACTGAAATCGACACGATCTTACTTCTTGGATGGATATAATACACATTCGCTTGACGGTGGGATGAGATGGAATGCGTTTTGGATGGATTTATGTATGGAGCATATATTATAAAAAAGGATTAAGAGAATGCAAAAATAATGAGGCATTAAGGATACTTTCAAGAGGAAATTCAGGATCAGGAATTCAGGAAAGGAATTGGATGAAAGACACAATCCGTTTCATTCAAGGATTCTCAATTAGCTGGATTTTCATCAGAAAACGTTGGCAAATCCATTACAAGGATTCAAAATGATTGTCCATATTTTTCTCTTTCGAATCGTTAAACAAACTTAAAAAAAATTATCTAATCGTGATGTAGCAGTGTTTCTGCATTGACAAACTAAATGAAAAAAAAAAAAAAAAAAAAAATACCGTAATTGAAAATGCAAAATGAACATCTTACTAACATCTTAATGACGTGGTTATATACAGATTTCTTAATCGTTTCAGTGTTTCGGTTTTATTACTACTTCACGCGATTTTAACGCTAATAAAACAAGAGAAAAAAAGAGGAAGACTTTCGCGATTTTTCTCTTACGTTTTACACACTCTAAAAAAAAAAAAAAAAAAAAACAAACTGGTAATGGAATGTCAACATTATAAAGTTTTATTTTATATGAAAGTACTCGCTTATAGCTTCTATATCATACGTTCGTAAGTCGAGAATTATTTTTATTATTACCGATATGATAATTTTGATTCTCATCGTCAAAGAAAAACGTTGTTGACCGGGGTATATCATATGTTTCATCCATCGGCGCTCAGTGATCGATTCGTGACAACTTATATGAAAAGGATATATAAAACTGGTGCCTGGTTCAACGCGAGGAAATCAGCTCGTTGAGAAATCTTCCATATTTCTCGTTTGACTTGTGTAATTTAAGTATTAGCATAGGCAATTACGATTACGATTGAACTATCTAACTTCGTGCTTAGCGTTCCTCAGGATCGTGCAGAACGAACGAGGAGTCCTCCAAAAGAAAACTATCGCGTTGCAAAAATAGTGTTTCTACGGTTTACCTTCTACCTTGTGATCGAACATCGTCTGATTGCTCTTCTCTCAATCGTTTTGATCTTTGATTGTACATATTAATCGTGACCGTGTGTATATACAATTTTGATATGTGTGCTATAGTAACAATCTACACCTCGTTCTTCAGGATTTTGATGCATGTTCAAGAGGATATTTACGTTCAGGTCGGAAAATAAGACGAATCCTTCATCTTTTAACAAGGACCTGGCTCTTCCTAGTTGTAGAGGATCTTCCGGAATGAAAAATAAAGTATATATGTATATATACATGAAATAATAAGATGGAAAGACAGGATTTGACAAAGATACGGTGTTTGGGATTAGGATGCTGACAGGATATAAAATTAGTGTTAATGATGGATATTTTGGATAAATGGATAATTTGGCTGGAAATATTCTATGGATTCTGTAAATAAGCGGATTACTTGGATCTTTGACCGGACAATATATATATATATATATATACATATATATATGATAACGCCGTTATATTCATGGATTTGGATTATCAAAATATCGATCAATTATATAAAAAAGAGAAAGCAAAATGTGTGGCTGTACTCGTTTCACAAATAGGTTTCTTCATGGATTATATCTCCTAGGTCGGATATGGGATTTGGACTTGCACTTATCGAGATCAATACAGGAATTTAAAAAAATAAAAAATAGTCGGATATCATTTTTCGGATAACACGGACGATCGGGAACGGATGATGCGATTCGCACACTCTCGCTGTAAGGTATTTGTTCAAGTTTAATATCTCTGCCGCCCCTTCGATATATACATATTTTTCTGCATGCAATTCTTCTAAACGATATGACAAAAAAAAAAAATCCTAAAAGAATCAAAAAAAAATCCATTTTTTAATTTTTTTTACGAATCCATTTCTTTGCGAAACTAACTTAAAAACGTGTAACAGATATAATATTCATCTGTTTGAAAGATCTATTTCAGTGTGATTAATCTTTCATTATCATCTTTATGTTTAGCTTTTATCATACATACATATACAAGATGGATCAGCTCATATTGATTTATCATCTTGATTTACATTATTATCAGTAAAGAAAAATGAATTAAAGTAAGGTTGTATAATCTCAAAAAGATATAAAATCAAATGAAATTTTGCAAACATAGCCATACATTTTAGAAATTTAAAAATAATCTTTAATTTTGATTCTTTATAATATATATAATAATTTTATAGATTTCATATATAAAATCAAATCAATTTTCAAATCTCTAAAATAATAATAATTAAAATATTTTGTGTCATTTTATATTTTCATTGAAATTATGCAAATTTATTTTCCTCCATTTTCTTTAGTAATAATGATATTGACGTAAATCAAATTGATAATATCATACGAATTATTGCACAAATTTTTGAATCCTTAAACAGAAATTTTTCTCATAAAATTTTTGACAGAATGAATGTTTGTTTCCTGATAGTAGATTAACTCCTCTTTAATAGTTATCCAATTATTTCTTTAATTAGAAACTTTACGTTTGTTATCTTGATGATAAGAAGAATTTTATAGAAATTCTAATCATCTGTTCAGGAAGCAGGAATAAAAAATGTTTGATTATTTTATTATTGACACTATTTTTGAATATAACCTGAATTCCTTTCCTTAATTAATGTTTATTGTTGAAAATATCTCTATTACTATGATTATATAATTAATATCGGTAGATTGTACACTTTTTTTTCATGTATTTGTTCAAGAGAGCAAGAAGAAAATAAATATGTGAGTATAGATTCTCTTCCACGAAATATATTATTATTTTTCCTATAATATAAAAACAATATATTAAAAAATTGATGATTAATCAAATAATTTTAATAATAGGAAAATATTAATGTATTTATAAGGAAGAAAAATATATTAAAACATTTATAGAAATCTCTTTTTTTTTTTTTTACAAAAAAAAATAGTAATTTTTTTAGATAAAAATATTTTATTTTAATTTTTTTTTATTAAATATTTTTTTTATACAAAAATTTATTAAAAGTTGTGTTAATACTTTATAGAAATGTTTTTCAAATGATATGAATGAATTTTAGGTGAGTAATATGTAAGAAAACGGAGAGTATAATGAATTAATCTTTTATCAGTTTTGTTCAGATGATCCGTCGGATCAAGAGGAGAATGAACTTCCGCCGCTTCTTGGATTAATGAAGTGACCATTTTGTAAGATCGTGATATCTAATAGTATTGCAATTAATATTTGTTATGAAAATTCTATATTTGTAAATTTTATATTATGTAAATATTTAATTTACATAATTTATTTATTTAATACTAAGAAATAATAGGAATTTAATCTTATTATATTATAAATGTAATAATTTTATTATTTTATTTTTTATCTCATTATATTACACGATCGATAAATAAAATATTCTTTTTGCTTGAATTATACTATTTTATATTTAATAATAATAATATTCCATGAGAAAGAAGTAATATTACAAATATTTCGATGTTGATAAATTTTTATTTTGTATTATTATTTACAAGTATTAATTGTTATGTTTTTGTTAAACATATGGAAAAATAATAAGTGGTATTTGGTTTTTCTTTATATCGTTTCACGATTCGGTGTGACAACCAGTTCTTTGATCAAGACATTGTCAGGAGTTTGTAAAGCGAAGAGAACACAATCGGAAACATCTTTAGGTTTCAAAGCCAGACGAGAGTTTTCTTTTAACCATTGTGCAGTCATATCGGTTTCCACTAAATCAGGACTAATGGACTAAAATATATATTATCAAATTTAAAATTTCGAAGACATAATTGACATAAAGAAGATATAATTAAAATTTATATTTCTAGATATAAGAATGAAGATAATTGAAAACTTACAATGACTTTGATATTGGATTCACATTGTGCTAATTCAGACCTAAGACAGTCTGTCAAGGTAGTTAATGCACATTTACTGGCTAAATAAGCTGGACGATTACGATTCATTGGTAGTAGGTTCAGTCCAGAAGCATCATTGATGTTTATAATAATACCATTATTAATTCCTAGAAAATACAATAGTATAATAATATGAAAAATTTATATTTTGAAATACATAATATATCATAATTTTCTAAGTTTTTATAAAAATGAAATTTTACCTTTTTTCTTCATTAATTTCAGAACTTCTTGCATCATGCAAGTCAGTCCAAGAAGATTTATGTCAAAAATTTTCTTCCAATCTAATACTTCATCATTTTGCATTGTAATATCAATATTAATAGCTGCATTATTGATGAGAATATCTATAGCTCCTAAGTTCTTCTCGACCCATTCTATGACTTTCAAAATATCGTTCTGGTTGGAAAGATCGCATTGAAGAGGAACTAGTTTTCCGGGTTTCGATTTTAGTTCCTCAACAAGAGTCTATTTAGTAGAATAAATAAAATTTAAATTTTAGGAATAAACAGATGTAATTTTTATTTAAAGAAGAAAGTAAAGATTCAAAGTACATGAAATTGTTTTAAATTATTATATTTATATAAATCCAAATTTATTAATTTGATTGATGAATGAAATGTTTTACAATCTATAAATTAAACAACATAATTATAAATGAAAAAGTGATAAATCCATAATGTAAAAAAAAAATAAGAATTATTATGGAAAAGATATGTAATTTATTATGAAGTTTTATTATTTATTAATTATTGCTTGTTTAAGAAAACATTTTTACAAAAAAATCTTATATACCTTCATTTTATCGACTTGTGGAGCAATTCCAATAACTTTCATTCCTTTGCCAACTAAACATTCTATTAGACATTTGCTAATGCCCGAGTTAGCTCCAGTAACTAAAACAACTTTATCAACCCAATTTTGTTCCATTGCGAATTCCTTGATATATTAAATTGCTTGTTTTTTTTTTTTTTTTTACTTGTAATCATACGAGAGAGAACCGTAGAATTGAAACCATAAAATGTATCTGAATTTTGAAGCGTCGGTGCCTCTTTTATATTAAACAAATTGTGGCCCAAGATTACCGAGGTCGCGTTAATCTTCAGAGATACTTTAACCAGACTTTGTCTTTTTAACTAATATACGGTAGACCGTAGTTTTATTATATTATAGATTAAATATATTTTGATTTAAATAATAAATATTTGTAATATCTTTTAGAAAAAAAAAAGTTTTCTTTTTCAATGTGTATAAATTTTACGTGATTTTACAATAATAAAATAAAATTTCAATAAATTTTATAAAGAATTTTTTATTGAAAATTACGATTTATATTATAAAAATGATTTTAATCGAAAAAAATATTTTTAGATCAAATTATTTAATTATGAAAAATTATATTATTGTAAATATGTACCATCATGATATTAATGTAATTTTTCTTAAAATATGTGTTTACTAAAAATAAGGATAAGTGATAAAAAGAGATACAGGCATTTTCTTGTTCGAGTAACATTTTGCAAATATTGCATCAGATGTGTATTTTTAACATTGCTTCAATCGATACAATTTACGTGATCAAATTTAAATGATCTTATTTACGTGATCTTTTAGCCTCGAAAATTATAAATAATTGTAATATTATAAAATTCTTTTTTTTCTTTTAAATTTATATAAAAAATATATCGAAATTTGTACGAAAATTTATTAAGAAAATTGCATAAGGATTTTTAAAGATCGAGGTAATTTTCGTTGTGGCGCAAATCGATCGATAACTCCTTCCATATTTCTATCGTTATATAAAACTTGATACAGATCCGGATTTAGTTCGCGAGCAAACCTCAAACTATCAGCCGCAATCTCGCAACTTTGTTTTTTCCGAATCACTTTATTATTTTCTATTTGAAATAGACCACGAGCTTTATGGATAAGGGCACGACTACGTTGTAAACGTAATTCTTCTAATGGTATTTTATCTTCATCAAATATTTGAAGTATTTGTTCAGCTAAATTAATGGCTCGTTTCGAATCTCTATTGTTTATCGCCACTTCTGCTTTATCGTTCAGGATATCGATTATTCGTTCCGCTAAATCGATAGTCTTTTGACAAAATGGTAAATTCAGTTTGCGCATCTTTTTTCGACATTTGAGATATGATTTTAGTGCCAAATTAATTTCATTACGTTTGACAAAACAGTCGCCTAATAATAGATATGATTCTGGATATTGTTTAACTAAGTTACTTTTCAATACAATTTGTATTGCCATATTGATTTTGTTCTCTAACAGACATTGCATCGCCATATCATATCTGTAAACGAAGTTCGAAGTTTTTGGCGTATAAACATATAGCGTATTATAATACTATCAATATTATTATCGATAATGTAACAATTTTTTTATGCTTTTTTATATTTTTTTTATATTTTTATTTGATACGTTTTTAAAAATATAAAATGGATCAAATATGGAATATCTATGATACTGTTTGATTATTTGATATTGGAAGAATTTTGAATTAAAATATTTATTATATATATATATATATATCTATAAAAATATTGATATTTTTACCGTATTAGATACCATTGTTTGATCAAATGATTTCTTGTTTCTCTAATCGAAAGCTTTCCCATGATCGATTTTTCTTTGTCTCTTGTCGGTTTTACTAGTTTAAAAAAATTTTTATTGAGACTCTCTAACCATATATTTGCTTCTTCGAAACGACCAGACAATCGTAAAACTACAGTTTTTAATAAATTAAATCCTGGATTGTATGGATTACAATCCAGTGCTTTTTCAATTGTGACCAAACCTTTGTCGTAACAAGAATGCATGCACCATAAAACAGTATAGGCTGATAACGCATGACCAGTACTAAATACAACCTGTTTGTATATGTGATATGATAAATATATAACATGTATGATATATTTAGTTTCTAAAATTTACAAGAAAGTGATATAAAGTAATGGATTTTTAAACTTAACTTATTTTAAATTTTATATTATAATATTTGTAATTCAATAATAAATAATTGTTTAAATATATGAAAATAGTAACATCATATAACATTCAAATATTGATAATAGTATTTGCCAATACATCAAAATAATTTAACAAATTTCAAATGATAATAATTTTAAACACGATAATTTTAAAATATATATTATAAAATAATATTAAATAATTATAAAATATATATTATATAACTTAATACTTTTTTTTAAAGATTATACTATATTAATTAATATATCAAAATATATGATTTTATATAAAAGTTGAAAAATTTTTCTGAAAATTATTTTTTATTCTTGTTTAAATAACAGCAGTTTATATTCATATAATGAAATTAATCGATAGGAGTTAAATTAATTGAACAAATTAATTGAATGTTTGTTCTAATCTGCAAACAAATTCGGATAAATAAAATTCTAATATTTCATGTGAGCGAAATATTCAATTCATTCAAAGCATTTTTACTGAAATCATAAAGAATTTAATAAATAAATTTTGCCTATAATCATATAGCTATTCTGGAAGAATTAATGATTTGTAATCTCAGTTGATGTTGCTTATTTTTGCGTGTAATTTGAAGTCTTGGAATTACTTCGGTACAACGAGATTTTCCTATTTTTTTTTTTCATTAAGAAATAAAAAATAAATAATAAAAATAAATAATAGAAATGTCGAAAGATAAATCATTCTAGTCCTTTAATCAATTTCGTCAATATAATAATTTTAGTTTCGTTTGAACAAAAAAATATGCAAATGCAAAAATATGGCTATTAAAAATAAAAAAATTTGAAAAACCATATATAAATCTAATAAAGTATAAGATAGAAAAGTATGTGGCTATAGCAAAGAAAAGTGAATGCCACTTTTTGCTCAGATAATATGAAGAGTTGATGAACAAAGGATAAATAAATTTATTACCAATCAACTTAATATTTTGATTATTAGATAGATTGAGACGAATGATACTAAAAAAATAGGATTTATTGCGTAGGAATGAAGAATTTTGATGAAGAATTTTTGAAAATAGTATTAGTATCTTTAAAAATTGGAGAAAGTTGAATTGTAAATATAAATGAATAATGAAAAATTTGAATTATAAAAAGAAGAAAGAATGATGAAATTGCTATATGAATATATTGTTGAATATATATTCGATATTTTGGTGTATATTAATTAATAATTATTTATATCTTTTGTAATTTTAAAAATCAATTAAAAATAGTTTTTCAATATTATTTTTATGTCAAAAATATAATTTGTCTTATTCGAAATCCATTACTTTTATCTTGAAATTAGATTAGACGATTTAATATTGATTTCTACATTATCAAATTTACTTTTCATAAAAAAATGGAAAATATCAAAAGATTTTTGAGATTTAATTCAATAGAAAGGTTATAATTATTTTAACTCTATAATGGCACACCGAAGTTGTTCATTATCCTAATAAGATGTTGAACATCTTCTTTAAAAAAAAAAGAATTATCTAAAAATAAATAATCGAAAGCTATCCTAATGTTTGATGAATTGTGTGTGAAATCGATGATGAAAAAAAAAAAAAAATAGTGTGCTATTGCAGGGTTAAATTTGATAAATATTTTTATTATTAAAAGAATACTTGTAATAAATTTTGAGCTATTTCATTATTTTTATTAATGCTAAGAGCTTTCAGAAGCATATGCCTGGCAGTTGCCATTTCTTTAAGATGAATCTTATATTCTGCATGTACAGCTAATAAATCAGAAATCCTCATAGGATCAGGATTCATTATAAATTGATCCCAATACATTCGAAATTTATCGTATTTTTGCAATCGACGTAAAATTTCTAATAACCTATCCTGATAATTTATATATTGGAAATTAATTTTTAATCAATACTTATTAACAATAAGGAATTAAGATCGTATACTTGTATTTCCATTATGTTCGTTTTAGGTATTTTAAATAAAAAAATTTGTTCATAGTCACTCAAAGCTTCTAATAACATATCATTTTCACAATAGAATTCACTTCTTTTCTTATAAGCATTGACTAATTGATCATTGTAAATATTTTTTAATTTCTCTTTCGTCAATGTATAATCATCTTTGGCAAAAAGCTTTGCGTTTTCATAGTTCTGGATGGCTTTTGTCCATTTTCCTTAAATTAAATAATTTTTTATGATTTTTGTGATTTTTTTATAGATAATAATATTTTTTTCAAAATAGTTTTTTTTTAATTCAAAATGTAAATATGCAAAAAGATTATGAAGATTGTAAATTTGTATAACAAATAGTTTTTAGATGTGATATATATGTTAATAAAACATAAAAAAATATTTTTTCTTGACATTGTGTAATAATATTTATTATAGCTTGAATCTATGAAGATAAGATAAGGAAAATAAAACAAAATTTTTAAAATTAAAATCATTTTAAATTTTTATTTCTTTCATAAAAATTTTCTTTTTTTAAATATTCATACATTACATACAAATAAAATTGTAATACATTTATTTAATAAAATAATAAATTTAATTGTATTTTTCTATTAATTTATCTACCAATATATATTTAATATATTGTATAAAAATTCAAGCTCAATTTTATTTCTAATATATCGTGTATATTATGCATAATATTTTCATTAGAATTTCAAACCTTCAGAAAAATGAATGTCTCCTTTTATAGCATGAAGTGAATGAAATCTTGGATTGTGAAACAATCCTTTGTTAATTACACGATAAATTTGATCTAATTTTGCCTTAATTTTTATAAGATGTTTTGCTTCTCTGAATAAATGTCTCGCTTCCTGCAATTCTTGTCTCTTGGTAAGCGTCTTTGTATAATTCCATAAATCTCGCAACTAGTTCAATAATATATTTGTAATTTAATAAATTTTAATAAACTTTTAAACATAAAATAATCAATTTTTCGTAGTCTTATTCAATGAATATTTTCGTATTATTTCTATATATTGTTTTTAATTCATAACTTGTATTTTAGTAGAGTTATCTAGGGAATTTTATGATTTTGCTGATTTTAATTTTTGTAATAAAATAACATTTAGTTCCTAATTAGTAAAATATATGAGAAATATAAGAAATATGATTTTCCTTTATTTTAATTTTTTTGATAAATTTTTTTTTTTTAATAAAATCTGAAATAACATTCTTTTATAAGATAAAATAAAATTTACAAAATTTCATATGAGAAAAATTATCTTTCGATTAAAATAAATTAAAAATTACTGATTTATAAAAAATGATATTGATTTATCTCACTTTAAGAGCTTCTTTTAAGGGATTTTTGTAACGTTCTTTTGAATATGCAAAAATCTTCTTCTTTTCGCCAAGCTCAAATATCTCCATCACGAGAAAACATCGGTTGCAGGAAATATTTAAATGGAATATAGGATGGATAGGTTATGTCATTTGTTTTTGTTACGAATAATCGAGAAATTGAAGGATGTATAGATGTATAGATGTATCATTTACACGTATCTCTGCGAACTTCATCATCTTTGATACGTACACTTTGGATAAAAATTTAATAAAATTTAGAATTTTTTTATTTTTTTTTTAAATTAATTTAAAAAGATTTTTTAAGTTGAAATTTTCATGAAAAAAATTAAAAAATTTTAATCAAAGAATAAAAATTAAAAATTTCAAATAATATATTAGTATTGAATGTATTAAGTTAGTTTAAAGAAATTTTATAAGATATAACAATTATTAATTAACAACTAAATAAGTGCAATTTTCAATTGATAGTATAAATATTTTCTTTCTCTCTATAACAATCGTTTGTGCAATAATTAGAAATGAATAATTCTAAAGTATAACTAAATCTTGAATGGTTTCATATGTTTATTACCAAGACTCGCCCAAAGGTCGCAGAATAATATCTTGAACCTGAAAATATAATTAAAAATGATATTAATGCATAATATATAAAATATTTTATAAATATAAGATATTATAATACTATCGTAATGATATGATTTTCTATATATAAAAAAAAAAAAAAAAAAAAAAAAAAAAANAAAAAAAAAAAAAAAAAAAAAAAAAAAAAAATAAACCGAAAATAAAGAGTACAAAACATTTAAAAAAAAAATTTTGTTTTCAAGAGAATCGATTTTGAAAATATATTAAATGTATATATTGCAAATTAAAAAAAGAAAATAAGAAATCAAATTGGTAGTTCATTATCACGTGTATAATTTATGTATTTAATATTTGTTGATTCAAGTCTGTGTGATAATCTGTAATAATGTATATGTATATTTTTTTTTTTCGAAGATTTTTTATATCATTCTAAATTTTCGACAATTATCGAAGAGTGGATAATTATATTTACGACAACATGCGGGGCACATGATAAAATATATATTGCAGCTGTTGCGACGTCTTCTGGATCCAATGTGGGAAATGATGCTAATGCTTCCTCAGAATACGTGCTGTAAGATACCATTAACTCTGTGGCTACTAAACCTGGGCTAATACCCTGCAGGAAAAAAAAAAAAATTAAAATTTGAAATGTTATTAATATATTTTTCTTTTTTTCTCACTTTTTGTTTTTTAAAGTATTTTATTTAGTAATTACATAGTAATTTACTGACTTTTTCTAATTTTGATCTCAATCTGATCTTTTTCAGATCTTTTTAGAAGCTTTATTTTATCATATAATTAAAAAATCAATCAGGAGAGTTTAAAAAAATAATATACTTTTATTACTTTTTACGAAATAGTGGAAAAATGTATATTTTCATAACGAAATAAAAAATGTATCAGTTTTTCAAGCTCCTTCGATTAAAATTCTATTGTGATTATAATTATAAGTTATATATATAATTATATATATAATTATAAATTAAGATTCTATTGTGCGAAATTTTTTAAAAACAAAAATTGTAAAATTGAAAAAAAAATCGTTAAATTAAATATTTATAATAAATTTCGTGTCGTAACTGATTATATTTTTAGTTACAATTTTTTAAAACAATTTTTTATCATTTCCACTTCATTCGAAAATAATTTAATTTTGAATATAATTTAAGTAAAAATAATAATTGCAAATACCGTAACCCTGATTTGGGTTCCCGTCAGCTCGTGTCGCAATGTTTGCGCCAGAGCAGCGATAGCTCTTTTTGAAGCTGGATAAACGGAGAATCCAGGTATGAAAGGCACTCTTTCACCTGCAAGACTGTTTATGTTTATTATGACACCTTCGCCTCCTGTTTCTCGCATCATGCGAATTGCTTCCTTAGTGCAGAGGCACAATCCGAAAACGTTCACGTCGAAGACAGAGCGCCAATCTTCTAAATTGCCATCTGCAGATTTGATATTAAGCTAATCGATCAAAGATTTTTGTAGCTAAGTTAACAATTACAAATTAATTTGGAGATTGATTAAAAATTGGAAAAAATATTTTATTACTTTTTATGAACTTAAGTTATTCATTTAAGACATAATATTTTTATTATTTTGTACAATTATAATGTATATTATTAATTGTAATAATATGTTTTTTAAATCGATGAAAATTAGATTCGAATTCAAGTGAATTAAAAATTTTTTTTAATAGAAATTCTATTATTTCTATATTTGTATTTTGTTCAAATTAAATTATCAAAATATTAAGAGTATCATATTGAATGAATTACCTATAAGAGAAGATTCTTTTGTTATTCCAGCATTGTTGATCAATACATTTGCAGGGCCAAGATTTTCTTGAACCCACGCGAAAGCTGCGATCACGCTTTCCTCTTTTGATACATCGCATTCTACGGCGTACAGCTTTCCCGAACATTCTTCCAACCCTTGCTCCAATTCTTTTATCTTTTCTACTCTTCTGGCAAGACCTGCTACCACCATCCCTTGCAGAAATTAATTCATCGATATGTAAATTGCTGTGCATTGTAAAAATTATCAAATCAGATTTTTAATTTCTTATTAATAAAAAAAAAAATTTTATGCTTCCTTAAAAGAATATACCTCGTATGTTATTCTTTCCTTGAAATTTTTTTATTTTAAGTTTTATCTTTAAATTTTAAAAGAAACTAAAATTTGAATCATTTTTATTTTCATTTTTCATTCCTTTTCGTGGTTTAATACAAAAATATCGAAATTTATTTATTTATTTTTTTTAAATTCGAGATGAAACATGAAAGAACAAAATATTCTATCTTTCATAAATAAATAAATTTATAATTTTTTTTTCTATTGAGTAAATTAAGAATAATAAATAAAAATATTTCTTTTACATTTCAAAATATGATCTTTTATTTTATTATTTTTAAAATTTCTAGAATTTAATTTTAAAATATTCTTTCAATTGCACAGTTCAAGTGCAATCTTCCAGTTGCGCAATTGCTAATAATCTTATAAAGGGTTGCATAAACATTAAATAAAAAAAATCTTTTTATAAATTTTAATATTTTCACAATATATCCGCAAAACTTATACTTAAACTGCAGAAACTTAAGTAAAATAAAAATGTTTACTTCTTTTTCCAATAAAAATAAAAAAAATAAATTTTTATTTTCTTTCTAATATTTTAAGCGCATGATACAAATTACAAAAGGCATATCATAGATATATTCCAAGTACAAGATTCGCTGAAATAATTATTAAAATAAATTAAATTTTTGAGTTGAATTAAATATAGGATCGAAATTTTCTAAACAACAATTGGTAAAAAAAAGTATTTTTGAGTGAAGAATTACCATGAGTGAGCAATTGCTTGACGATCGCGGCCCCAATTCCGGCACTTGCACCCGTTACCACGGCCACCTTCCCTGCCCATCTGTCCATCCTTCCTATTTCACGTATGTCTCGCGACTGTTCGCCGTAACTCCGGTAATAAGATCGCTTATAAGTCTAGAAACCGATAGGTAAAAAGTAACAGCGGTTAAAAATCGATTGCGACTGGTCTGGTGGGAAATCCGATAGTCTCGTGGTAAACCCATACCTAGCCTTCGGTCTGACATGTCCTCGGCAATTAATGTTGTTTGCGAGATCTCTGACATCCTGTCTACGATCTATTTTCGATTGTCATATACGATTATATGATTCTATATGTTATTATTAGAATTTCGATTCATCAGAGACAAAAAAAATTTGGATAAATATTTGTTTCTTAAAATTGTTTTTTTATTAAAAGAATATTAAATTTTATAAAGAGAGAAATAAAAAATACAATGGCAGATAAAAGTTTAGAGATATTTATTTGATAAATGATACAATAGTATATTATTACCAATTAAAAAATTTAAAAACACTTTTTTTATATATATTTTTAGCTATTATATATAGCTTTTAATAATCTTTTTATTAATTCCAATTGATATAACTAATAATGATTATACTATAACATTATTAATAATGATTTTTTTTACTTTGACAAATTTTTAATTAAAAGATTTCTTCTTTAGTTTCTTTAGTTTAAGAATACGTATTTAATGTATTTTCCAATTTTTTTAGCTACTAGTATATATATATACTATATTGTATATATGTGATGTAATGTAGTGTTAAAAAAAAATATTTTTAATGATTAATAGACATTTAATCGTTAATTTTGATTTATTGATTACTTATTATCTATTTATAATTTTTTCATGTTGAATGTTATGTATGCATGAAACTTTACTTACTTATTAAATAATTAAATATAAAATATAAATGTATTTCTTTTCGATGAAACAATTCTTTAATAATATGTATGTGAATAAAAAAAATATTTTAAAAAATTATTTCTTCTATAAATAATTAAAAAAAAGTAATGAAAAAAAAGTATTTTATTCCTGAAAAAAATTTGGTTCCAAAAATAATATTACAATACATCAAGAAATTCATCGCAAACTTTTATTCTTTTTATTCTTATAAGTAAAAGGAATAAGTTAAAGGAATTTTATTGCAAAAATATGTACTTACAGGATGTAAAAATTATTTTTTGAACGACACTATAAATACAAATTATATTACAGATATAACGATTACAATCGTTATAAGATTTTTCAAAAATTTTTCAATCGATTGGCAGTCGAAACGACCACGATGAACTTCTTTGCACAACTGCAGTATACGGTTTACGATTACGTGCACAGACATAGAACGTTAATTGAGAAGCCCTTGTCGGCTATTCTTTATTGTGTTTCTGTGGTAGATGATATAATAACATATTGTGGTTGATATTGATTTATTATAAAGATTATTAATAAGTTGAAATTTGTCGTTGCAAAAATTTTTTATTAGCGGCTATATAATTATATAATTGTATTAACATATGCCTGAGTAATTGTTCTGAAGTTAACATCTTTTGTTTGCAATACGGAAGCATTTTGTTAGTGAATTAAGGCTAACGAGAGACGTGCTTTAGATTGCGAAATCAATTTATTCTATTGTCATATGGAATATTTATTGTTTGACAAAAGAATTAATTTAGGGATAAATAATTTTTAAATATTAAATATATAATAAAATAATATAATAAAATAATTGATATTAATAATAATTAATATTTCTTTTTTAATGTGGAAATTATACAATCTATAAATCTATTTCTTGAACTTTATATTTTAAAAGACTACTTTAGGAAAAGATTAATTTATATTAAAGAATTATTTATTTATACAATAATTAAGTTATTTAGTATTTTTTCATTTCTTTCATTTCTTGACATGGAAATTATATCATTTATACGTATAATGTGTTTCTTAAATTTTGTATTTTCAAGAATTAATTTAAAAAGAAAAACTAATTCATAAAAGGGATTATATAATAAAGTAATATAATATAAATATAATACAATTAATAATTAATGATAAATAATATCTATTATTCTTTAACTATTTATATTTCTTTTATATTTTATATTTTATCCAGTTCTTAAATTGCAAAATTGTGTTTCTTTCGTCAGACATTATAATAATGTCATAATATTATTAAAACTGTTATTTAAATATTCTTTTTTAAAAAAAGATAAAAAGGATCATCATGGGATAAATATTAACACAATCTATTTCAAATCTACAAGTTATTTATTGGATATAAGGCGCCTACATTGCTGAATACTATACACTTGAAATTTGTATCGAATCTGCTTCCTTCGGAGATCTAATAAACACTTTTTCTTTTAAATTCACCGTTATAATTATAATTAATAATAATTATTATTGTTTTTTTTTATTATTCCTTTCTTTCTTATTCTTAAATTCGTTACGTATCGTCGTGGAATGCGACAATGATTCGCTAAAAACATTGTCTAAGCGTGGCATTAAACAGGAACTGCATTAAACAATGGCATAGAGAAAGAGAGTAAAAGAGAATGAAGATGAGAGAAAGAGAGAGAGAGAGATAGATAGATAGATAAATAGAGAAAGAAAGAGACAGAGACAGAGACAGAATAAAAGACAGAGACGGAAATCGAAATAGCGCCCCCGAATTTTCATGTTTTCTGAAACAGTATTATTTCATTCGATCGAGAGTCACGCCGATTTTTCTTATAAATAAAATAGAATAAATCCATTGGTCATTATCGTTCTTATCTTTTTTTTCTTTTTTTCTACAATATTAATATTCGATAATTATTTACAAATCCTTTAAAAATTATTGTACTTCTTCTTCTCATGTACAACTATTGCGAAGAAAATATGTATTATTAATTTTTTCCTAATTTATATCATTGTATACGAACGATTTGAAATCGTAAAATCAGATTGGTTTTAGATTTATTTATTGATTGTTTCTTTCATGTTTATTAAATTATATTAAAGACTTTTAATTTTGTAGAGAACACACGTTTATCTTTAAACGTCTTTTAATAAATCCGTTCTCTAATCGGTTATGCATAAAATAAATAAAATACATCCTGAATGAATTATCAATTTAATGCTTTGAACGAGATAAATATGTCGCATACGTCAGAAGTGTAGATATCTCTCGAAAGATTCAATTATATGCTAATTTTTTAACAATATTTATGAACATAATTCCAATTACGAGATTTAAAGTTTAAAAATAAATAGCGAGATATAAATAAAAAAATTAACAATTGATAAAGAGAGAAGATATTGCAAATTGTGGAAAAAATAAAAAAAAATAAAATAAAAGTGAAAAATATTGTGAAATTGTTTTCTAAATTATTTCATTGAATTTTTAATTACAAACTTATTTAATTTTTATTTAATTATTTTAATAATTAATAATTTATTTTAATTATATATATATATTTCAACTAAATAATTACTAATATTTAATTTATTAAAAAATCATATATTATAATTTTTTAGTAAATTAAATATTATTGATATTGAACAAGATTTTACAAAGAATCATAATATTTTAAAAATTTTAAAATCTTGATTAAAATTGGATCTTTGGAAATATTTCTACACTTCTGGTAATAAAATTTTCAATTTCAAATAATAAATTTCGTAATCAATTGCATTGAAAATGCGACTCAAGTGCGGAGAGAATGGAGGAGAAATGCTTGCAGATTTCCTCTTACATACGAGATATGTGGAATTTTATTTTTTTATTTTTTTGTTGTAGGGGGGAACACGTTGAATTTCGGCCTCATCGATTCGATAACACGGTCTATCTACGAAACGTAAGTAACATGTATATGATTTTAAGCTTTTTTTTTTTGCATCTTCCGTTGCACGCACATCACGAAAAACATAATAAACTTAAAGTAGTAAGATTTTTACAAAATGTAAGATCACAGATACTAACGAGATGTAACAATTATTAAGATTATAATTATAATACTTATTATAAACTTTGATGTGTTATATGAGAACTAATGTATATAATTCTGAATATAAATTTGAGATTATATTTAAAATTGAATTGTGTATTTTTAGAATGAAAGAACAGATGAGTCTAATTATAGCTGTCAATTATCTGAAAAGAGGATAATGCTTTGGTAATCGTCTTAAGTTATTAAAATCTTCGAGTTATTATGATATAAATAAGTAATGAGAAATATAAATAAAATTTATCTTTTAATAGTCAAAATTTTGTGTATTTAAAATTCTAAATTTTCAAATTTTGAAACTTCCATTTTTGAATTTTTAAAATTTTCCATTTTTCTTTTAATTTTTCAATTTTTGAATTAAATTATTAATCTTAAATTTTTGTTCACAGAAATATAAAAGATCTAAAATTGAAAAGCTTAAATCAAAGAATCTCAAACTTACAATCAGTAGTGCTTATCAAAATTTATAATGAAATCATAAATTAACGCTTTATACAATTATTTTACACGATAGATGCTTAGAGATGCGACATTTCATTATCTCGTACATTCATGACACATGATTTTTCTATTCGCTAATAAATCAAAAAATTTATCGAAGTAGGTCATCTTTAATTTCAATCAATTTGAAAAAAAAGAACAAAAAAAAAGAAACAAATCGATGCTCGTATTCGATATTACAAATATACATTAAATACTTTACATTATTCGAGTCCATACTAAAATATAATATATGCAATTGTAATGTGTTATCTTAGTACAACCGACTCATTTCTTTCTTATCTCTTGATTGATTCTTATTCCGTTTTATCATGAGGTAAAATATGCAAATAGTCAGCTTTGGAGATTCGAAGTCTGTTAATTTAAAGAATATTGTTTTTTTTGCTTATCATTATATTCATCACTTTTTTATGCATATATTTTTTTATTTCAATTCCTGGGATTGAATATCTTATTGATCCAGAAACAAAATTAAATATTTTTTCCTTGATATATCTATTTTATAGATTTTTTCAAGGATTAAATATTTGAATTATTATTATTGAATATTTCTTTGAACTTTTTGTAATTAAAATATTTATTAAATGTTAACTTTGGGATGATAAAATAATTTTAACTTCTTGATTAGAAAATTAGCAATATTAATTAAATCAATAAATTTGAATTTCAGTTTTTTTTTATTAATAAAATTATTAATATTAATTAATTCAAATTTGAATTTTAAGAATTTCTTATTTTTTTAACTATTAATTTCAAACAACAAGAAATCATTATTACTTTTCAATTGAATTTTCATTATCCCATAATTGAACTTCAAATTTAAATTTTCTAATATTAAAATTTCAAAAATTCACGGATCTTGAGATTTCAAAATCAACATATAAACACCAGAATCTTTATAAAATTTTTTGTTTTCTCCAAACCGACTATTTGTCGATTAGAAGAAACGATATTAATAATTTGTTATATTAAACTTTTGATTAAAATTAATGAAAATAATTCAGAATAAAATATTTCATCTTCATCTTTTTCAACAGATTGAATTGAACGAAGTTCTCACAACGATACAATCGCACGAAAATGAACGATGATTTATGTATATAGAGGAAGAGATGTCTATTGTATCGATCCTATCCGAGATTATATTATAATTACTCCGGACTATTTCATGCGGCCATATGAAATTAAATAGTTTAATCTTCATATTTTTCCATTTTCATTTCCCATCAAATTAGATAATCACAGTTACAGTCTGTTTCGATGTATTTTATACAAAAATTGTTCCACCGATTATACGAATAGTTTTCCTTTTTTCTATTTTTTTTATTTTTTTTATTTTCTTTAAGTATCTTGTTTTTATTGTATCTCATAATTGCTTTACGTGCTACTCATAGAAAACACCGTCAAAACAGATCTTGATATCTACGTTGGTCTTCTTCGAGATATCGAAGAATATTTTTAACGACGGTACAGTAGATTTATTTTCGTGAACGATTAATACATGTTTTTAACTTGTTGCTGGAAGAAATTTAACGAAATTATCAACTATAATAAATATAAATTTCTTATGTTACAATTTTTATATTACAATAATTTTTCCTAATGATGATTAAAATAATTATATATATAAATTGCAAGAATTCAAAATCTTGTATTTGATTCTTCTTTTCTTAATACTTATTTGGAAATTATTTTTAACAAAATATTAAAATAAGTAGAATATTTGTTATCTCTTAAAGAAAATAAATAAAAATCTTTAATATATATTTTATTATATATTTTATTTAAGTTAAAAAAACTTATATTTTTTTTGATATTCATATGTTTTAAAAATCTATTATTATACATTGTAACAATATAAATTTGTATAATTCACAAAAATATATGACTGGTTTAAGTATTCATTATATATAAAATTAATTATGAATATAAAGAATAAATATAATTCAAAATCTATTATTAATAAATACTTGTTATTCTATTCTATAATGATTAAAAAAATAAATTAAAAAATTCATATGTTAAAAATTTTTATAATTATAATTTATGTATATATACATTTGAAACATTTTTTTTTTATATTTCATATGATTTTAAATAATTTCTACAATATACATTCCATCAAGAGAATCAAATTATTGATGTTAATCAAGAGATATTTTGTGTATTTTTTAAATTTGAAATCTTGCTATTTCACAAATTTGATAAATTTCTTTCTTCAATGTCTTGGCAAAATAAATATTTTTTTATTTTTTTTATTTTTTAATATATCCCTTCATTTTTTTTTTTCTATCTCGTTGTATTTCTTCCAGCAACTATACAAACTTTATTACTTCATGTCTCTACACGTGCACACGACGGTTATATCAAAGAATGAAATTGTTAGGAAACTGTTTTTTTTTCTTTTTAATATCTTTAAGATCCATAAAAAGATCGTTTAATTCATTCGGTACGATTTTCTATTTGTTTGTTTAAATACCACTCGAATCCTTATTTGCGAATGTACAATTGCCATTGTTATCTTATTACATTGTCGGTATTACTATTACTATTACTATTACTATTATTATTATTATTATTATTATTATTATTATCATCATCATTTGCTTTTGAATTCTTTATCAATGATATATTTTCAATGTCTTTCGATTGAACTTTTGTTGAAAAAATGCTTCGTAATTCGTTTTCATCATCGTTTATTACACCCAACCCCCGCTTTGCAAATAATTACCACGATTATGTTGAATTAATTAGCCAATTTTTTCACTAATGTTTCGTTTTTAATTTATACATTTTTTTCATTGACTTACGAAACTTTAATATTGATTACCATTCACTAATGAATAAATTTAAACTTATTAGTAAAATTATAAGTAATAAATTATAATGACTTAAATGGTTAAAATTAATTATTTTTATAATATAATATAATATATTTAATTTATAAATAAAATAATATATTTATATTTTCAGAAATAATTATAGTTCTCTGTAATATATATTTTCTCTAATGTGACATTCTCTTTACATAAAATATAAGAATTTTTTAATTTAATTTTTCAATGGAAATAAATCCAAAATTACATGGTATTAACATGGTAATCAATGTGTTAATTGTTATTATTTTTCAACCCTCCTAATATCAATATCTAATACCAACAAATATTAATTGCCTCGTTCGATTCCATCGAATGCTTTTCTCGAATAGAATACGAAACAAGTTTTCCACATTTAGAGAAAACTTAAAACTGGTTTTCTAAAAATGATCAGAGGATGATACCGTGCAACGATTATTAATTTTTATATAGTTGAAGATCGAAGTTGAAATGATTTTCACGAGATTTCAAAATCAAAAATTCTTTTTAGATTAGATTTTTATGCTCGTTTTAAGATAGTTTCAATCCATTTGCATTGAAATTTTTTTCTGGTCATTGCCAAAAAAATAAGGTTGATGCAACTCATGTTAATATAATGCACACTGTGAATTAATTATCACTTACCATTTCTCTAACAAATACAATTCGAATTGCTAATTTCAAAAATTTTGATAGTGCAAATTATATAGTGCATAGTAATAAATCAATAATACATTATCGATATTTTCTCTTTGAAGCGCTTTTTGCTTTGTTTACTCCTATTATATTTTCGATTGTTTAATCTTCTTTGTTATTATCCTAGTACAAAATATTCATACGAATGAATATAAAATAAAAAAATAAAATATTAAAAAGGTTTTATCTATTGAATGAATCATTATATTTATCATTTATTAATTATTGATTATTATTGATATATTTATTATTGATATATTTATCATTTATTAATTATTGAGAATATTATGATATTCAAAATAAATCTATTTGCAAAAAAATATTAAAATCACGCGTGTAGAAATCTTTAAGTATAATATTATATTATATCTTAAATAAAATATATAAATCTTTAAGTATAATATTATATTTAAAGTATATATTACAATATTTTAATTATTATTATATATGATAAGAAAAATGTATTCTATTTATTTTTAATAAGCTTCATAATCTTTTAAAAGATCATCAAGCTTTTGTAATAGTTTTTAAAATGATCATTTTCTATCTTGTCTATTAATATTAAATTTTACAAAGAATTTTTGGATTGAAACTAAGTATTTATATTAGGATAATAACCTTATCATTGACTAAACAACTTAAACAAACTAAACAACAATTGATTATAATTAATTAATTTATTAATTTTCCTTAATTTATTTATTCTTCTCCATCAAGAAGATTTAACGTTAAATTCCTCAACAATGCAAGTGGATTGGCCGTGAAACGAAGACTTACACCCAGGGTAAGCAAGCGTAAGGGGCACACTTATTGTAATTATGCACAAATGGGAGCGAGTGTCTGCCTCTGTGTCAGTGATGCTTAGGAAAAGAATCGGATTGCGTGTTTCTATGGCCTTGATTATTTTGGCCGGCGTTACTACCTGAATATTGTTGGCTATGAGATTGCTGCTGTTGACGTTGCTGTTGTTGATACTGTACACGTTGTTGGGTTTGCTGATATTGTTGATGTTGTTGTTGTTTTTGATGTGTTGATGTTGTTTGTTGACGTTGCGATTGCTGATATTGCGGTGGTGGTTGCTGTTGTTGGGGTTGGAGATGGAATTGGTGTTGAGGATGTTGCTGTTGGTTCTGTTGTTGCTTCCGTTGCTCCATACCAGCGGCCAAGTAAGAGAATACACAGAGAACCGAGTAACAGATTTGATCTGCCTGAAATATTTTTTTGTACAATAGCATAATTTTTAAGGAATTTTTTTAGATTATTAGATTGTCAATCTATTTATATTGATAAATATTTTAATATATGCATTTATATTTTGATAATTTTTAGACTTCAATTTTAATTTTTTTGATTACTTGTTTATTTGTATGCATTTTATTTTTATAAGATGGATATGTGTTTTTGAATTTAAAATTATATTTTTTATTTTATATTAATTATCTATTATTATTTACTCATAAATTATTATGTGAAGAAAGTCCTTATATTTTCGAAAATGCAAAAAAAATTAAATTTGAAGATTTTGTTTAATAAGTAATGGTAATTTATAATGATAAAATGCAGGTATTAATAAAGGTTTTAAAAGGAAAAATAAATGAAATTTAAAAAAAGCAACGAAAACTTACATTGGAAAAAGAAAAAATAAAAAGTAGCAAGTAAACCTTCATGCATTTTCGTTTTCGGAGTTGGCATCAGAGAGTTCAGATAACGTAAAGGCAACGGAGAATATCCTGTGCATGCAGTGGCACAGTTCATTGGCCTGTTATACAGTATACAAAATAAAATGTCATAAAATATTCAAACATTATAAGATAACATAATAAAGAAAAAAAAGTAAATTTATGGGAGCAACATGTAATAAGCAATTTAAAAAAAAGATTTGTTCACAATGAATCAAAAAATATATGCATAAATTAATTAATTAGTTTTAAATATCATATTTTAATATTTATGCTTACCATTTGAGACTTATATTTACGTTGAATTACTTGTCTAGTTTTAGGATCTGAAAAATAGAAGAAATCGATACAAGAATTCGAAATTAAATATTGTTTATAATTATTGAAAATATATTTTATTATAATTTAAATTTTGAAATTTAAAATTTTTCGAAAATTTTATTATAAAGAGAAATATGAAAAATTTTTATTTATACAAAAATAAAAATATTCTTCTATCATATTTACATCATATAATAAAAATATTACTTTGCATAAAGATAATAATATACTTTCCCATAAAAATAAAAATATTTTTTCTATTTTTGAAACATTCATTCTATATTTTTCTCTTTATTCTTTTCTTATAAAAAAAAAAAGTTACTTACTGAATTCTTCCAATACAAAGATCCCATCCTTCTGAGTAAAGCACTTGCGGATATGATCGAGTCTTACAAAAAACTGCAAATAACACGTTCGTTTTGCATTAGTTGTGACCGGAAACTGTGCGATTTCGCGATCTACTTATACATGCACACTTGTGATTAGATCCTCTATGGCCTTTTATGCCCCGGACAATATAAACCGTGTGTGCCAACAACGATTTTGGAAAGAAAGGCGTGAAACTCGTTCGAATAAAAAAATGCTTAAAGTTCGATGGTGGGATCAAGCTCTGAATCGTCGATGTCTCACGTACTATTGTATCGTCTAATACGCATCACAGTGCACCTTTTTTTTTTTTTTTTTTTTTAAAGCGGGATTTTGCTGCAAAGAAATTTCTCTCGAACCTGCATTCTGCATGTTTTAATTAAAAAAAAAAAAAAAATATTCAAAGACATTTTGCTTTTTAAAGAAATTCTTGACTTCTTCTAAAGAATTTAAAGGAAATTTTAAGAAATTTTAAATATTCATAATACATTATTATTTTTCTTTCAACGAATTTTAAAAGATATTTTGTTTTGCTTTTAGAGAAATTTATATGTTTTAAATAGAAATTTCTTTTAAATTATTATGTCCTGTTTTTTCCAATTTTGAAAATGTTTTATCGAAATTAATTTCCTCAATCATGTTACATTAATTACAGGATTTGTAGAGATATTTCTTTATTAAGGGCCATTACCAAATTTCATTGTTCTATCCATTAAATTCATAACTATAATTTGTAAAATTGTACAATGAAATTTGGCATTTTCTTTTATTCAATCTTTTTTTCTTTTTTTCTTTCTTTTTTTTTCATCTCAATTTCGTTACATCATTAATATAAAGAGAAAAGTTGACGGTAGACTTTGCAACTTTCCTCCAAAAATATAAGTTTATTCAGTGTATTTGGTTTCGAGGGAATCATCTTTGAAATTCATGCACGTTCAAGTATACTCGAATCAAAGATTTTTCATTTATATTTTAGTTTATAACATTTTTTTTTCTGAATAAATAACAGATATGAAATAAGAAACATCAATTCATAATGAATACTTAATCGCTGGATCACCGATTATAATATGATTTAAATCTATTCAATTAGATTTAATTTTATCATATTTAATTTTTATCATACAAGATAAATTATTATATAAATTATTATAATATTTTTATCATACAGAATATAAATTAATGTATAAAAACATTTTAAATTTATATGAATAACATATCTTATTATGAATATTAATTAAAAAACCATATACCGATGTATCATATACATGATACCGATTTAAGAAAAATCATTAATTCTTATAAATCATCATAATTATTTATAAATTTTCTCTTTTTAAGGATCTTTTCTTTTCTTTTTTTAAATTAAATTATCATTCAGAATTACCGAGTTGTGAAAATTTTATTTCAAAATTTCTAAAAAATTTCTCGAAACTTTCTTATTTATCTTTTTTCCTTTTAAAAATTTTCAAACATGGTATATCTCTTTTTTAAAATCTTCTTCCCCTATTTTCTTTTTCGATTCGTGTATAACGAGAACGATCATGTTGGCAAACATGCGGGGATCAACGAGCACGATAAAGCTGCACACACCATGCATCATTTTCTTCGCTAATTAAAAGCCAAGTCATCCATTAGCATTTTCGACTTCGACAAAGCGGGCCTTGAAAGCTGGAATAATCGCGAGTATTGGCCGCGGCGGATCGCATTTCCGGCTGCAACAAGGCGCAATAACATAAGCGATATTACAAAAACGGTTCAAACTTCGAAGCAGAAATATCACAGAGAGCAGCGTCTAACAATCGTAGCAATTTTTCGTTATTATTTATATATATTTTTATTTTTTATTTTTTTTTTTAATAATTCAGCGGCAAGCAGGCAACTCTGGAGATGGCCTAAACTCATATCAAAAAATGTATAAATGTCATCGATTGCTCGGCGTCGATAGATCTGCTATAATATGTGCAATTTGTATATCTAAAATGCGCGAAATTGGATTTGGCCCGTTTGATTTATGTTTTTTTTCTTCGTCTTCTTCTTCTTATTTGTAAGTTGTTTTTTTGTCTTTGTTTAATGATGCACAGTTATGAGACGATCGATCGATCGTAATTAAAGAGATATATATATATTTATATATCGTGTATTTAAGATCTAGAAGATCGAAACATCGGTGTACAGCGGTGCCATGCTGTAGTACAGTGCTTTTTGAACTGTATTTTATTGATTTGCTTGTATTTTATTTTGTTTTTTGATAATAATAATCTCAGAATTTATATTATTTTATAATAGGTAAAAAAAAAATGAATATAAAATTTATAAATTTAAAAAGCAAAGTTTTCAAAAAATTTTCATAAAAAAATTACATTATTAAGTAATTAGCAATCAGTAAATTTAAACATGAATAATAAATTTCAGAAAATTTAAATACATAGTAAATTTTATAAATTGTATACGATATTTTCTTTCACAAATTTCTATGGGGAAAGAAATTAAAATTCTTAAATTTGTATTAAAAAAAATATCACTAGAAAAGTTCGGAAAACACCATACATAGAAACATGTGTATATATGTGTGTGTGTAAAACATGAAAAATCGAAGATATTGGTGCCGGGCTTCTTTCGAGTTGCTTTTCCACGAGTTTTGGGAATTTCATTCAATCAAACATCACTATATAGCACGATACCATTGCTCTACTACATAACTGGCAACGTGAGAGTGGTTTTATAAATGGTTCTGCAAAAGCGGGCGACTTTTCTCTATCGTACATATATATCGAGATCTACTCATTCATGCAGTGCATTCAAATTTCCTTAGAGACGTACATAAACATTCACCTTTATTATATCCCTAACGAAAAAAAAAAAAAAAAAAAAAAAAGAAAGAAAAAAAGAAAAAGAATATTTTCGATTAAAAAAAAAAAAGAAAAATGATAAATTTTGACGATAAAACTGTTCTTTTTACATTTCGTAAAAAAATGTATGTATCAAATTTGTGTTTCTTTCATTTTTAATTTTTTGATTTCTCCTTTTTTTTTTAATGATCCGTCACCCGATTTTGCGCGAAAATTAAAAATTGATAAAAACAATTTTTTTTTTTTGATAGAAATAAAAAATTAACTACGACTGTTCACTACGTATATAGATTTTTATTAATTCAGCATATACTTCTACGGCCGTACTCCGAAATTTTTCTCACATATTTGACATTTTCGAAAGATTGGTGAGAAATATGCTTTTGCAATTTATAATTTTTAATTATGATTTATTTCAAAATATTGTTTGGTAAATTAAAATATAATCAAATTTCAAAATCTTAAATCTATCAGAAATTAATATCATTTAATTCAATTTATGTAGATTATTAAAAAAAATATTTTGTGCAAATTTTATTAAATGAAACGTATGAAAACAATGAAAGTATAAAATTTTGAAATATACATAATAATGATATAATATTCATTCCTGCAAATTTATAAATTTAAACTTACATATTGATAATAAATCATCAAATTATATATATCCATGTCAAGATAGATAATATATTAATTATTGTAGATTGATTTCAAAACGCAACACGATTTCAAAAGCATATTTCAGACCTCATTAATAATTATTATGCTTTTTATATATATATATATATATATATATAAAACGTTTATCTAATTAATATAAATTATGTCGATCGTTTCTTTAATTTTTTCTTCTTTAATTCTATATAATTCCAATATAGTAATGATTCATTAAAAAATTTAATCGATACTAAATCAATAGTATACGTATATACGTATATCTTGTAACTAGTGGTACAATCAAAAAGAAAGTAATTCTACTTGAAATAAAATAATAAAAAATATGGAATAAATATATTTTGAATTAAGAATTTATTTTTAAAAAAGTATTCTTAAAAATTGTAATTTGATATAAACTAATATTTTTACATATATAATAATTTTACAATTAATTATATTCGATAATGAAGAATACATGATGAAATAAAATAGAAATTTTATAAAAAATTTTGTCTTAAAAAAATGTTTTTTTTCTTTATTATTTAATTTTGCGTATACTATATTATATACAAAATAATCTTATCAAGGATTAGAAGATTATCAAAAAAATCTCAAAGATCTAAAATTTCAATGAAACAAATTATTAAAAAAAAATTTTTCATTATATGAAAAAATTATATTCGATATTTTTCATTAATTCTTTTCTATGGAATGAAATCATTTTGGTTATTACCATTAGTACCACTGGATACCATATTATAAATATTGATGAACATATCGATGCATTTATCTTCTCATGAATTTCTTTTAAACACATTGTTACGATTTATATAAAAATAAAAAAATAAAAAAAATTGACGATCTTGGAAAAATCAAAGAAAATTAAATCTTATTAAAATGACAACAACAAATGTTTTCAATTAATTTTTTGTTAATTATATAACACAGATTAATAAAAAAAAGATTTATTCCAATTCATGAATAAACTTTTAATAAGATTTTCTTTTATTTTTTTCAATTTCATTTTTTTAAATTTCGATCACATTATTTTTTTTTTCGTTTATATATAAGTCAAAACAAAGTTGTTAAGAACGTTCCATGTAAAGATATCACATCGATAGATTAATCTAAGAATTTAATTTAATTTTTTCTACGATCAACATCTAACTAATTTGAACGAGAAGCGCTATAATGGCGCGTGGAGAACTGAATGATATTAAAAATCCCATAATGTACGGGATGACGTAGAAGGTTATATGATGAAAAATAATATATATATATGTATGTATATATATATATATATATACTATATAGTTGCATTGAGTGCACCAAAACATTGCTCTACAAGTTGCACTAATACACTACTCACAAATAATATTTTCATCTAAAGACAATCTTATATATCGAATTTATATATCGAAATGCAGTAGACATTGTTCTGCGTATTTATGTATATATATTATATATATATATATATATACATGTATATAATATATGTATATAACATATATACATACATGGATCACTATGGTACCTGAGTCAATCTCATGGTAATATATATTATAGAGAACATATAAATGTATGTATATATATGTACACTGTGTATAATTTATACACATGTTTGTGTATATATATATATATATTTGTGTGTGTATATATATATATACATAGACGTATGTATGTCACAGTTAACACCGATCAATGATAGGAAAACAATAAGGTAAACAGAGCAGATTAGTTAAATTTAAATGCACTGGTTAAGAGTGTAATAGTAGTAGTAGTAGTAGTAGTAGTAGTAGTAGTAGTAGTAGTAATAGTAGTAGTAGTAGTAGTAATAGGTAAGTAGTAATAGATATATGATTAATAATAATACGGCTAAAAGTAATGGTGAAATAAAGAAGCATTTCCGGAACACGGCCAACATTGATTATAATTAATATACTGAGTTCAATATAACAAACAGTGATTTAATTTGATTAGTACCTCGAAATCCTGTGTATGCCCAGCCCAGGGGCAATGTCGACGGACAGGACAAGAAAACAGAAAACAGAAAAACAGAAAATTAAATTTCTGCCAACAATTAATAATATAATAATCCACTCAATTAAAATTATGTTAATCCAGGGCTCGGTATTACGATGATAAATATACAACTAGATATATTACCTATACGTCATGGCCAATTTTTAACAAATCAGCGGTGATTGTTCATTGTTCAAGGACCATCTCAAAAGTTCCCCAAGCTGAGAAAAGTCTATTGATTATATTTAAGTTATATACATTCGTTTATATCTGGATCCGTTTTAAAATGTAACAATCATCACATAGCATTACATATTTTTTTCTTTCTCGTTAATACTTTTGATTAAATATTTTTGAGACAAAATAATACAAGTCAATTTCTTTTTCTTATTTATTATTATACTTTTTCATTGATTTTAATTTTTACGAATGTGAATAGACTTTCCTCGCGTATGACCACGACAAATAATGATAGAAAAAAAAAAACAAATTGTCAGACTTAAGAGAGAAAAATATAATATATGGCATCCAACATTCAATACAAATTATAATAGATATTATATATGTATATACACATATATGAATAGTATATGTATATATAATGAAGAAGGTTTCTGTATATATTTCCTAACTCTTATCACTTATATGAATGTATGTATGATAAATGTATAATATGATTATAATACAGATAAAAGAGACTGCAGCTGCACATCGAGCTCCATGCAAGAAAACATTGATTAACGCTTGAACGAAAATATTACCCAATAAAATGACCGATAATTTATATATACGTGTATAAATTGTATATATGTATATGAAAATACATATATATATGTATATATATATATGTATATACATCAAAGAACCCCTGTTAGTATGTAAAATACAATTACATAATAATAAATGTTAAATATTCAATTATATATAAAAATAAACGAATAGAATATGAGATCAATAGAATATATTATAATAATCAGCTTGTCAGGGGCTGCTCATCTTGTGTGATTTATTTTTCTTTTTTCTCTCCTTCTTTTACTCTTTTTTTAACGGTGTGTATGAGTATGTGATCGTATGAATATATGATTAATTATTACGTTTTCACTGTTTTAATTAATAAAAACGCATTGCCGACATTTTTTATAGAAGATTAAATATCCTTTGTGTATCTTTGTGTGATTATTTGATAATTGTTTAAAAATGTGCAAAGTCGAAATTACTTGAGATTAATTGAAAAAAATTCAGACAAAATCGGGCTATGTTTACTTTCATTGCTCAGAATTATAAAAGTTTCGTCTTAGGATCATTTTATTCAATCCCATCCGAATTTTTCCGACTTGTCCCGAAATTCAAATTTTCAATCTTGCACACTTCTATCATTCTCTATAAAAAAATATACATATCTTATAAAGATATGAAATATGAATATTATTGCATTATTATTAAATTGTAAATAGATATTCTTATACAATGAAACATCTTGTCGCAGAATTTGAAAACAGATAATTTTATGAAAAGTATTTATCTTTTTCAACACATGAAGTAATTTTTTTTTTTTGCGAATTAATTGGCGAAATAAATCTCATCGCGTAAGGATTTATAATCTAACAATTTTTAATCTTTTTACTCATATTTATGAACAAAAATATTTCTATTATATTTTTATTATATTAAATATTTATCTAAAAATCAAAATAGGAATTATCTTTAATACAAGTCAGCAATGTGTTAATTATATTTAAATAGTACATTTATATTATCAAGGCTTGATCTTCCCTTTGTTCTTTCTTCATCAGTCCCATTCCTCCCTTTGTGTGCATGTGTCTCATATGTGTGACATTTGTCTCGTGATTCGAACTATAGCAGCCTGAAAAAAAATTCTAATTTTCCCTCAAACATGGTATATTTTTATAACGATGTATAAAATGTAAGAACCCCAAGGAAGGATATGTGAAAAGTATTCGATCGAGATTATATATCTTTTAGATTTAATTTGATCAGAGCTTCGTGTGATCCTATCGGTGATCGTACACCTCACAAACTCATACATAAGAGTCGATAAAGATATAATAATACGTACAGATACAAAATTAAGCAGATCGTGGTGGCTAGCGATGGGAGATAATATTGAGTGGTCCTTGCATCAATGCAATAAAACGAAAGAAAGGAACAAAAAAGTAATACACAGAGAGAAGATTCAATAATATCGAAAGAATATGAACAGTAAAAAAGGGGTTTTTAGGATGGAGCTACTGATTTGCTCCCCTAATCGTTCACCTTGATTCAATTTTATTATTTTTTTCTCTAAGAAATGAATCCTTTTTATCTTGAGAATATTTCTTTCTCAGATTAATTCTATCTTTCATTATTTATCTATCACTATAAAAATTTATTTCGTAACATAATATAATTGAATATAATTGAATCGAGATGATTTAGCAAATGAACCCCCGTAACAAATTCTCAGACTGCATGTATTTCGGTCGCTGAAATAAATACGTGGTTATACGGTGTTCGAACATGTTATAGTCGAGACAATAACATCGCCAAAGAAAAATGACATGACATCGTATATATATAAAAAAAAAAAAAAAAAAAAAAAAAAAAAAAAAAAAAAAAAAAAAAAACAATAATGGATAATATATATATATATAAGTATAAAAAATTCGTTATAGAGAGATATATGTATATGTATATAAAGGAACGTATATATGTATATATAGTATATCCAATATATGATGGAGAGAGTATCGAATGCGCTTCAACATTACATGAACAATTGGACAAATGTAAAGAGAAGAGATAGAGATAGAGATATAGAGATAGATAGATAGAGAGGAAAACAGGTGTTTGCAACAACCGATTAAAAGATTCGAAGATTCCATTCTTCTTGCAATTCGTTTCAGAAAATGAATGAAACGCTTGATATATTTTCGAGTGCGAATCATACCTTGCTATTTGCGAAGAGGAGACCCACGCCCTCCATGCAAACCTGAAGAAGACCACCCTCACCGGTGCGCATGTCCTGAACCGGAAATTCACCTCCAAGTTCAGCACCCACATTCGCGCCACGTCCACGAGCTGCTGCCTTCTCCATTGCATCTTTTATGCAATAGTATAGATCCTTGCACTTAAAAAGAGATATAACGTTTATTTGTTACATTTTCATAAAATTGTTGATATATTATATTTATTCGAACATTTATATATTTTATTACGATTTTCTCTATACCAATTATCTTCAACTTAATAAATTGAAGTTATACCAATATTAAAATTCATTATACGCTTTATTTAATTGTTTGCTAAATGATAATAAGAGATAATAAAAGTCATCCTTGACAAAAATTTATTTATAATGCAATATTAATATAAATGTAATATTATAATATCATAATATATAAGGTATATAATATTAAAGGTAAAAACTTTTTTATAGAAAGTTTTACAAAAATATAATAAAAATTGTATAGTATATACATACCTTTTTGGTATAATACTTATGCAGTTGCGTTTGTCCGCCATTTCGTCGCCAAAGGCACAATACTTTGTTCTTCGGACTGTAAGTCATATTCACCAAACGCTCATACCACCATCTTTCGACAATCACGCCATTCACAGATCTAAGGACAAGTCCATCGTGGCGAACCTCGAGAAATCGTAAATCACCTTCTGCATCGACGCCAGCATGCACGGTGAACGATTGACGGTGCATTTGTCTGGATGTGAGAGGCTTTAGATCTATATCGTTTCCATACTGAAACGTGGAATACCTTTTGTTAAGATTTCTTTATTAAAATTTTTTGAAAAAATATAGCATTTTTCAAGCATTTTTTCCTTCTATATTATTTATTTCATTAAAATTTTAATATTTAAAAAATTTTCTTAAAATTTTTATTAATCTGCAAAGTTTTCAAAATTCTTCAATGTTTTAGAAAAATTTTAGAATTTTTCAGAAATTTTTCATCTCTTTCAATACTATATAAAAAATAGCAAATTTTCTTAAATTTTTTTGATAACCAAAGAAAGCCAAAGCAATGTGAAATGTTTTTAAAATATAGTATGTTTTTCAATATAGCAAAAAGTCTTTGAAATATCATCATTCTAAGGAATATAAAATTTTATTCTTTAATATTTTAAAAAATTTTTAATAATTCGATTTTAATTTTATCTTATCCTCCTCTAATAATTTTACTGCATTTCATTATCATCTGTTCATTATTTTTATCATCTGTTTTCATTATATTCAATAAAATTAATCTTCTGCTTACGAGATTATGTATTTGGTCGAGAAGTTGATTGAGCTCCTGACTGTAGATCAGACCGATGTGGCTTTTTCCCAATAATCTTCTCACTTTACGTTTCACCTCGTTTTTATCCACGTTCAGCATTACTAAAATAGCAGTCAAATTGTGCAACAGAGTGCACAATAGTCTATCTTCATCGTGTTCCAATCGTTTCTTTTCACTTTCGCTCAAACTCTTATATCTGAATATAAATTCAAAATGAAATATTCGAATCTTTCTTCAATGATCATTTAAAATCGAAAAATTAATTACAAAAAATTCTAATACCTTTCCATCATTTCTCCTGGACCTTGATCCATGCCGATCATATCTCTTTCTTGAGACACTGCATCTAAAAATGCATCCTCCCAAAATTGCATCTGATCCCAAAGCGATGATCTTTCTTTCCCCAACAAACCTATATTTTCAATATTATTGTAATAATTATATTATGCTATGAATATTCCTAACCACTAAAGGCTAATTAATAATGAACTGCGAATATCTATAAATTTTTGATAAATTTAAAAATTTAAAGTTAAAAATAGAAAAATTAAAAACATAAAAAAAAAAATAAAAAATAAAAAATTTTCAATTTCTTAATTGTAGTTACATTAATTTTCTTATTGATTTTTTAGTTTTCTTTACTTTAATAATAATATTCCATATTTGTTTTTTTTTTTTATTTTTGAATTCCGTGAAAAGTGTTTTAAATTGATAAAATGATAAAATGATTTTAAATTTTCATAAAATATATAAATAAAATATTTAAATAAAATTTTTATTTAACTAATAGAAATATAAATTTGCATAAATATTGTTCAGTGGCTATTTTATCTAGCTCAATTATCATTATACCTTCGAATAAATACGTTCTTGCAGCTTCAGGACTAGGAGCGGTCGTAGTTGGTACCAAGCTTCCTCCATGATATCGAAAACCGGTACTTAAAGAAGATTTGCTGGACCAAACGCTTCCGGTTCGTTGCTTCGGCTGTCGTGAAAACTGAAATCATGAGATTATATAAGAACATTCAAATGATTTTTTTACATCGTATTACTCGATACAAAATTCGTGAAATTAGTGAAGTTAAAGCTTTTTGTTTCTTTCTAAAATTTTTAACAAAGTAAATAAGCTCAATTACTCTTTTCTACAATTAAATTGAAGGAAAGGATCACATTATAAAAAACTATGTGAATTTCTCAGTGCAATGATACAATAATAGAGTGTTCAAGCGATTAAGTGTTATACATGTCAATTTTGTAATCAAAATATTAATTAAATTTTCAGAGTTTGATGAATAATAAATTAAGCATATCTTAAAAATTTTTTTTCAAAAAACTTAAAAATTTAATTAAAAATAATTCTATGATTTCTTTGTATTGAGATATTATTACAGTATAAGAAAATGTTTTTTTATATAAATCAATTGTATATAAATGAACAATTATTTGAAAATAATATGTATTATTTATATACTGGAAAAATTTAAAAATAAATCTGATTTAAAGATTAATTTAACTGAAATGATATAATTATCTTCTTTAGTAGTTTTCATCCAAAAAAATTTTCAAAAATTGCCCAATTTTTAATTCATCAAATGCAAATTCTCTTAACTATCCAAAGCTCGTGTGTTTCATCGTGTATCAATAGCAATTGTAAAAGCTTCTTCCCATTAGTGCAAAAACTAAATCTATTGTAGCAACATGCCGTTCTCGATCATCCTCTCCAGCTAAATTCAATCTTCTTTTTTCCAAAATGGATCCATTGTTGGACAATTTTGACAAGATGCAAGTATTGCACAAGCACAAGTTCTCTCCTCAGCATCGATTCCCAACTAAATATACTATAATAATCTATAAGCTAGACTATAATGTATATAAAAAAATTTTCCAACTAGAGATTTATTTTGCAACTTCATGAATTCGTTCATCTAAATGAACATCTGATTTCGATTTCTACCAACTAGAGATATATATATATATATTTTTTTTTTAAATTCTATATATGTTATAAAAATAAGGGAATATTATAAGAAAGAAAAAAAAAATGAAAAAGATTGATTCAATAGTGATCAATTTACATTGCCTTGTTCGACCTCGCTATCAGAGACAGTGCTTCGGAAAGAAGCCTGGTGCGCTTGACGAAAAGCAGGATTAGTGATTATGCTACCTCCATCTGTGGATAAAGCTTCGCTGCTTCCTGTTCCACCTCCCCGCCCACTCTAAAAACACATGACGCCTCTATATAGCACAATTGTAGACCAATTACGAGACAATGTATCGCTAATTGTTTAGAATTTATTCCACAGAAGGCCTGTATAATGATCCATCGGAAGAAAAGTGTGTTTAAAATAAAAAAAAAAAATTATAAATATATTTCATTATTTCTTTTTTTTTTTCATATGATAAAAAATAGATAATGTAAATAAGAAAAAACTTAATATAAAATTGTATGCAATTGCTAATAATCCAGAAATTAATATGATTTTAAATGAGAATAAAGAAAGAAATATTATTTTTAATGAAATATTCCATGGAGACTTTGAGTTATATTTGAAAATAAAGTATATTTAAAATGAAAATGACAAAATTAATATATTTCATTATTATATTTCCTTTTTTCTTATTATGTGAATTTTATTTTAAATAAAATATTCCATAATGAATTGGAAATAAAATATGTTAAAAATAAAAAATTAATATATTTTATTTTCATTTGCTTATTTTATTTATATGAAATGATATATAGTTATAAAATATTGTATTTGTCTCGATTTATTTTTAAATAGAAATTTCGAATTTAGTAACTAAAATCGTATGAATCGTTATTATCGATCCCTTCTCTTGGGCAATACTTATTGTTTTTTGCTCATTTTTTTCATGATAATTATTTATAACAATTTTCATGCATATACTTGTGTATTATTATACAACACCTGTTTGTCACCTGTGTATCATCAAAGGATTAACTTTGTTGCTGTTTAATCGTACAGAATGTTTCATTCGTAATTATACTTTTTTTCATTGAATTGATCATTAGAAATGATAATTTTTAAAAATATTTACATATTATTGCTTATTTATTTATAGTAGCAATATAACATTGAAATCTAAAAGAAAATCATTATTATAAATATTGTTTTATCTTAAATATTGATCACTAATAACCCAGTAGTTAATAATACAATGTTAAATATTTAAAAAAAGAAAATTTTAAACATACATGTATAAAAACTCATTAGGCAAACATTCTATACGAATATCAATGAACTTTACAATTGTGAAATTGTACGCGTGAAATGTAGACAGAAAGTGAAACCATAAAGAGAAAGACACCTTTGCTACCTTCGTGTGCCACGAGGTAACGTTCTGATGGAACTCGTTGCTTTTACCTCAGAGTCGAAGGACGTTAGCCTGCTGAGGAACTTTCCTTTTTTAGTGAACATATCGAGGAACATGTCTGTCGTCGATTGGCTACCTTCATGCGCTGTTGAATGACCGTGTGGCATTTCCAAATGAACTTGAGGTGCATCTATAATCAAATAATCAAATAATATGATAGATGTTTTAGAATAAAATTAATTTTATATATTACAATATTATAATAGTATAATAATAATAAATAATTTGTATGATAATAAATTATTAATAATAATAATATAAATTAAATCAAAAATTTATTTTGGAACATTAAATAAAATTTTTTAACTCTCAAATAGTAACTTTTCATCTTTATTTTTTTTTAAGTTTTTTTGTTTTAAACATTTGAAATATTTATCCTCTCGAGTTTTTAATTTAATGTAAAAATGATCTTTGAAATAAAAATTTTAAAACTTTCTTCAATAAGGAGAAAATTAAAGATAAAAATTCGTTTTGGAAAAATTTAACAATAGATTTTCTTTCATTTCTTAAATAATCCAAATTGTCTACGAAAGATTAAATGTAATGGAATTTTTTATTTTTATGATCCATTTTAAATTGATAATATTAAATAGAAAAGTTAATTTTAACCCTATAAGAAAGTTTATTTAATTAAATTCAATTAAATCGCTTTCAAAATTTTTTATTACTTTACGAGTTTTTGAAATAATAAACATTTTTTTAAATATGATTTTATGAACTTTGAAATTTATTTGAATTTTGTACCCGATCTTTGAGATGCGTCTGAGAATTCAGGATGAGTAGGAGACTGCGGAGACCTCAAGTTTTCCTTGCTGCCAAATGGACTAGATGTCTGAAAGAATTATAAAAAATTATAAATAATTAAATGTGGAATATTGATAATATTCAACAAAATGGATAGTTTTTAACAAATAATACCTGAGACATTAAAGAACTATCGAAACCTCCCTCTGAAAGATCCTTGCTCCAATAGTGAGTATGTGCGATTTCCATTAACTGATAAACCGATGCCATTCCTCCCAGGCCGAAATTATTGTAAGTGTGTCCAAGACCATGAGCCACTGCTTGAAGGCACTTTAGCATTCCCTTGTAAACTGGCTTCGAGATATACTATTTATAAAAATAAGAAAAATTTACTAATATCTAATATTTGAATTGTACAAACATTAGAAAGTATAGTTTTTTTTAATTTTTTATTATTTTAAAAATATAAACTTCTACAAATTTTACAAATACAAATTCTCGAAATCTAAATAAAAACTTTATGCCTCAGGTAAAGTAGATATTTAAATAGAAGATATGAGAAGATATATTTAAAAATTATTTTTCAAAAGAGATCATCCGATAATAATCAGAAATAGAAATATAAAATAAAAAGGAATAGAAATATATAAAAAAAATAGAAATATATAAAATAAAATAAAATCCTATACTAAAGATTTAATCTTCCATATAAATTTCAAAGTTCTAAAAATTTTTAATTATAATCCTTTAAAAACAAGATACAACTATGACAAAAATCTTTGCAAAAAATTTTGCTAATAAATAATGATACTTAATGTGAAATAATTAGTGAAAAAGTATTTTTTAATCAATAATATGCAAACTCATTCGAAAGTGATCGGATATAATTTGAATATTTGTCGTAAATTACATAAAATTTAATGAATTTCCCTTTTTAACTTTCTCTAGCTTAATTTTTTATTTCGAGAACGAAAGCATAATATCATAAATTCTAAAAGTTTAATAAATTTATTGAATTTTTCTTATTATATTTACCACATCATCGATATGATCATCAGGACTAATTTTTTTATTAAGCCCTTTATTCAATTTCGTCACTACCAAGTCTCGATAGCTTTCATCCTCCATTAATTTTTTTAGCCTATTCAATTTCAGCCAGCCAACGCCTTCACCGGTTAAAACTTGATTCACCACCTTAAACAGATTCATAAAAGTCATAATTTAATATACAGTTTTATTACACGATATATTTTCATAATCATTAAGATTCTTAATCTAAAAGAACTTACATCAGTCAGGAAAGCTTGATTGTCGCTATTTGTACTAGACCTCTCTGCATTCTGCATCCTCTGGATGTCTTCCTGATTAGCTTTGTTCGTCGAGTGTTTTATCAACGATGATCGTTCCACCAATCCTGTTTTACCTGAAAACAATCGATTAAATTCATATATAAACTTATACTATATAAAAAAGATAATTGTTTGAAAACATAATTGAATAATACTTTTAGGAAAAGGTCCGAGTATCGGTGTCTTCTTATCCGCTTTTTGCGACTGTGGGAGACCGGTATTTCTAGAACTATTTTTACTGCCTGCAAATGTAAAAAGAAAAATTTTTTAAAGATATTATATCTTTCATATTTTTTATTTTTTATAGATATTAGAAAATTGCTATTTTTAAATTTTCATTTCTTTCTCTTTTTTTTTTTTTTTGTAATTTTGAATCATATTTTATTATTATAATAAAAAATAAAAAAACACTCTTTAAATATAATTTTTTGTTTTAATTTATTCAAAAATAGAGAAAGAAAAAAATGTTATTTACCAAACAGATCGCTAAACATGTTGCTCGTTTGCGCAGCAATGCCATTTAAATCACTACTAATATTGCTGAAAAAATCACGTCCGATTTCCCGCCGCCCTGCGCGATTATCCGAAGCGACCAATTGTGTACTACTCGAATCTCTTCGTTGTAATATTCCAGGAGGCGATGGAGGTGAATGCTGCGTGTCGCTAAGTCCCTAAATAATTTTTTTTTTTTAATTTTCTTTAAAATTTTCTTATTTCGAAACTTCGAAATCTTGAAAATCTTTAAAGCTCAAAAAGTTTAAGTTTTTGAACTTTTTCTTATTTTTATGATTCAAAACTCTTGGAAATTAAAAATAGAACGCTCAAAACCTTGAAAATCTTTGAAAATTAAGAAATTTTTATTTCTTAAACTTTGAAACTTTTTGCAGTTCGAAACTTTTGAAAAGAAAATATGAATTTCGAGAAGTTTCAAAATTCGATTTTAGAAATTCAATTTTTGCGGATTTTAATTTATCTCTTCAATTATATATACCTTGAGTAAACCTTTCTTCGCAGCAACTTCTTTGGCACTTTTTGTCAAATCTCCAAAAGTGCTCTTGCTCACATACGTTAAATCATCGAGTGTATTTTTGCTGACTCCAGCTGCAGTTTTGCTCGCCTCCAAAGCGGTTTTCGAAGCTTCTTGCACGGATTTCGTTGCCTCTCCTACTGCTTTCTTTGTCTGTTGCGTCAACTGTTTGATATATCAAAAAAGTAAAATTTTATTTTTCACAGCTAATAAAATTAAATTATTAACTATAAATAACTTAAAAAACTTAAATATATGTAATTGGAAATTACATATACTTACTTGTTCCAATGGCGCAAAGAGACTATCTTCCCCAGCTTCTGTGATCTTCTCTTTTGCCTGATGTTTTAACTATTAAACAAACGAATTGTCTCTCTATATTTATAAAAAAAGTTCAAATTAAAAGAACAATATTAACAAAAGTGAAGGAAATTAGTCATATAATATTACTAATATTCATTATTAAAAGTTTAAAAATCCAAAAACTTCAAATTATAAACATTTTCACATCTACACAATTCGTAAAATCATTATGACAATTTATATATAATTATAATTTTATATATAATAATATATAAATAAATAGTTATAATTTTAATATATATATTTTAATAAATATATAGTTATAATTTTAAAACTTATCAAGAATTTTTTTACATGTTTTATAATTTTCAAATAATCACAATATCCAAAATTATGAAAATACCTTGTCCATCTGAGCAAGAATTCCATCCTGACTGCTCTGCCTAGTAGTTTCTCGAACCAAATCCTTCGCTTGATTGGCTATTTGTTCGAACAAAGATCCTTGAGAACCCTGTCGTAGAACACCGTTTCCAGTCACGTTGGAACCCTGTCTTTGCACGCCCTCGTTGGCTTGCTTCTGCCCACTGGTACCCAATGAAAATTGTCGAGAAACCGTGGACGATTCGCTCTCGTTGCTGCTGTTGCTCGTCTGTCGAGAAAATGGCCCTGTACCAAAACTCGATGCCCTCGCCAAAACGTTGCCAACACTTGGATGACGCTGGAGACTTGCTGCGCTTGGTTGTATCTTTGGAAACATATTTAAGTGAAACATATTTTTTAAAAAATTTTTGAAATTCAAAATTCGAATAGAAAATTTTGTTTTTGGAGGACGAAGATCCTTTCAGTAAAAAGATAGAAGAAAGTTTAAGACATTATATTACAGTTAATATTAGAACATGTATAATTCTGATTTGATTACTGAATGTAAATTAAAAATTATGATATTTGAAATAAAATTTTGATGATAATTCGCGTGAACCATACATTTTGTACCGAAGAATTATTAAATTGAATGAATGATACTTGACTTCATAAATGCTTCAGAAAGATGACATGCATGTATTATTATTTATTTATTTGATGTTTATAAGAAATTGAAATGATAAAAAAGGAATTATCAATCGAAGATCAGAATAGATATTATTCAATCCAAAATAATTTTTAATGAAACCTAAATTTGTATAGAAATTTCTAAAAAAAAAAAAGTTGAATAAATTTTCTATAGAAACATAAAAGGATAAAAAATTTTGTAAGAAATTACAAAGAAAAAAATAATATATTTAATATTTAGAGGATTCCAAAAGAAAACGTTAAAAATATCCAAAAAATCTACACTAAAAAATTTTATTTATTTTCAATAAAATACTAAACGCAATAATTCATAAATCGTCAATAAATATCAACAAACATCTTTAATATATATTAAAAAATAAAAAATATATAAAAATTCAATAACAAATGTCAAACAAAAAAAGAGGGGGGGGATTTTCATGCTGGCATACATCGAATGGAAAAACTGTTTGCTTTTCTGATCGCACATCGCATGCAAAATCCAAACGACACAAAAAGATAGGAACCGATAAATAAGAAATTAATCGACAGATTTTAATACACCAGCAGAGACCATCAATGAAGGATGAACTCACTGGAACAACAAATCTACTGAGACGAGAAGTCCTGTAAGATGTGGCAGGACGTTCGGTGTCGTTGATGCTCGACGTTGCTAAAGAACGTCTCTTCCCTACTCCGAACTGTCCCACCGAACTTTGTGCGCTCAGGATTGTGCGTGGTGTTATGGTGGATGCTGAATCTGATTCAAAGCTACCACCCTCCTCTTTATCCTATGATCAAGCACTTGGTTAAGATGTTGAAATGTTTCGTTGAAATTTTTGATTTCGTTACTTTTGTTTTGAAGATTGGTTGTAATATAGATTGATGGTAAACAGGAAAAATGAGAATTTCAGAAAATTATTTCCTAAATCAACTGATAAATTTTCATAAATAAATTTGATGATCTTGTTCAATTTTAATATATTAAGTATTCGATATTTCGAAATGTAAAAATAAGATATGAAAATGAAATATTACTTATTGCGAATGATATGGTGAAAAATTGGTGCAAGTTAATACATCGATTTATCCAGATTGATAGTAAAATGATGGATTTTGGAAAAAAAATGATTATTATGTATTAAAATTATTAATTTTTATAATTCTTTTAGGAAATTATTTCCTAAATTAATTTTTAAATTTTTGTAAATAAATTCTTCTAAGATTTTTGATATTTTAAATTTAATTTATTCAGAAATAAATAAATAATAAATGAAAATGAAATATTTATCGCAAATGAAATGAATTCTAATTATGTTTCGAGTGATTTTTTAAAAGAAGTTTATAACAAAGAATTTTTTGTGATAAAAATTTTGAAAATAAAAATTTCTTAAAAAAAAAAAAACTTAAAAATATTCTTAAGAATTACTCACATTGGTCGATTGTGAGCCTTCTTGAGCTTTGGGATTTAACTCGAATTCAGAATCCCTGTTGAAGCTGGGACTGCTCAAGTCACTGTGACTGGAGGAAGTGCTTGGTGGACTTTCCGGTCTTACTGTCGATTCTTCCTCGACTCCAGGATATTGCAGTGAACTGGGTGGATTGTAAACATTCGTTGGATCTACAGACAAGGCCATTTGTTGAGGCTGTGCTACTTGTGAACAATTGTAACCTGTAAAATAAATTACATAAACAGTATTTGATTATTTTTTATCGTTATAATTAATTATTTAAAATTCAATTAATAAAAATTTCTTATTATTGTTAATTAAAATACAATGTTTCTCAAAAATGATTTTTAATTCAATATTATAAAATTTACAATTTATATTCTTATTATTATTCTTTTTTATATCTGTATTTGAATATTTGTATAAAAATTTATAGAAATTTTTTAAATAAGTTAAAACAAATTCATAATTACTAGAAAATTAAAATATTTCCATAAGCAAATATTAGTAATCGAAAATATTATTTTATTTAATATAATCTAAAATATTATTTACAGTATTATCAAGTTATATGTATAGTAAATAAAATATTTATTTATATTTTAATTAAAATAGAACAAATATCAAAGATAATCATATTTTATTTTTTATTTTAATAATAAATATATTATTTCAAAACGATATTTATATAGATTGATATTAAAATATATACTTGAAATTATTTATGTAAATCTTATTTCAAAAATTTATTTTCCCTTTGATCAATTAACGAAAGAAACACACTTACTCGGAGACAAGTCCGATGACACCATTTCAGAAACAAAATCGCTCAACGAGGAATAAGAGGAGCTCGTGCTTTCAGCACCTTCCGAATCAGATCCACTCTCATCTGTTGGTTGATTCTCGTGTTCCTTCATTGCTTTCAGAGCATTGGCCAATGAGCTACCATTGTCCCAAACAGGAAAATAAATAGGCTCGAGACTCGAGGCATACCATTTCGGCTTATCGCCTATCTGAGTCGGATCGAACACCCCTGTTTGCACCCTCAAGAACGCCACATTGCTCGGTGTAAGGGACCATTCGGCCAAAAACTCAACCGCCTGAGTCCTGGCAAATTTGTTCAAGAAATGACTGGTCCGTGGTCTTGATCGAAGGAAAGAATTGATCTGGAACGCGACTACGGGTCTGGGATATAGTCTCAGAGTCCTCGTGTGCTCGGTGAAATTCGCCAAGAGATTCTGCGAGTTGAAGAAGCGAACCATGGCCACCCTTGTGGCAACGTCTACCGAGTCCAAATCGTTTCCATAGATGAAAGGATTGAAAGATTGCACGGTTTGCGAGGAGAACGGTTTCTGGGGCGACGAAGAGCCACCTGATTGAGACATGGAGGTGCGACGGTGACTGGAAGTCACACCGGCACCTGGAGAACTTGCTGGACTGGAATAGTGATCGATGCTTGGCCTATGCTTCATTGAAGATACGCTGTGTGGAACAGAAATTTATTTCAAATGATAATTTAAAAATAATTATTTGCAATAAGCTAATTTATTACTTGATAAATAACATATTCTATTTGATATTAAATTAGCTATTTAATATAATTGATTTTTCGAGAAAATAATCTTTATTTTTTAATTTATTAATAATATTAATAATATAAAAATTTGATGTTGCATGTTAAGAGACCAATTATTTTAATCAAATATTAATGAATAATAAATAATTGCAGAAAATATTAATGATAAATGAATCATTTAAATATATTTTTTTACTTTCTTTTATTTATTTATTTATTTATTGTTGTTTTCATTTTTTTAGTATTGTTTTTTTTCAAATAACTTTAAAAAGTAATTTTAAGATAACGTAATTTATAAGATTTGTAACATATAATCAGTTTAAATTTTAAATCAATTTTAGTTAAAAATTTTTGCTAATTTAAATTTTTGTATCAAACAATATAATTTTAAAATATTATAATTTTAAGTTATATCATCATTGTATAAAATTTCTGTATAAAAAAATTCTACAAATAAAATCATTACCTCAAAGTAGACAAATGAGAAGTTAGACTCTCTCTTCTGCTAGGAGCTTGCAGAGAAGTCCTGGGAGAAGTATCTTGCGATAGTATTTGCGGAATTGACATACTAGCCATTGCCTGAAAATAAAATATTATCTATAAGAAAATTATAAAGTATAATTTTTAGATGTCTCTTCTCTAAGAACTTTGTCTATTACGATATATTGTTCAAGCTCAACTACATCTATTTTTTAAATCTATATACTATGCTTTCTATTTCGTATAATAAGCTTCAGGTCTCTCCCTTGGAATTGAGACAAAACGTGCTATACTATATCCTCTAATCAGAATTAAAAATAAAAAGAAAAAAAAGAATCTCGTCCTATCAGGAAAAATTAACCCATGCTACTGTAACTACAACACAAGGGATAGATATATTTATGCTACATGCAAAGAGTGGATAATTGAAATATTTACACCAGAGCCGGTTTGGTCCATCAGTTGCATTGCCTACGGAACCAATTAAATGAGGAACAATTAAAATAACATTGACGTCGTTATTAATCGAGTATCTATTATAGATGTTACATATTTTTATCTCTTTTTTCTAATTTTTAAATATTAATTTCTTTGTAGATATTTTACAATGATATGAAGTTATATTATTTGTATATTTGTTAATTATTTCTACCAAAGTTGAAAATTTAGGAATCAATAAGATTGTAATTTGCAAAATTTAAATTTAATGAAGTATTATTATATTTATCTTTATTTTATATTTATCTTTCTTAGTAATTTCTTGAATGCTATAATAGTGTATATTTAGTGTCCAAATTTTATAATTTTAAATTTAGAAAATTTTAAATTATTTTCATCAATTTTTGGAATTAGAATATTTCTCATTTTTTAAAACAACAATTCTTATTTTAAAAATTTTATTAGTACAATTTCACAATGTTTTATTTAATTCTTCTTAATTTGTTCCTTGTCAGGCAACAAAAGGATTAATTTTTATCATGTTAAGTGGCGTTTTATTTACCTGTTTCAAGTGGTTCTTTAATTCGGTGCCTTCTGGTTCGGGCAATGGAGGCAATTGATCACCCAGACCAGTAGGTGGGTTTATTTTATTGCTGTCTAGATCCACTAGCCAAATGTCATCGGGCATTTTAAAGTTCGTTTTATACAATAAAAAAGTAGCGGGTATTCCGATAACAAATGGTGTAGGTGCAAGCAACAATTGTTCCGCGCAGCTCATGCACGTGGGTAACAATGGTATTGCAGGGAACATATATTCCAGAGGATAAATCATCGTAACGAACGCCATTACAGACATCGACAGGGCATTGTAGTCACGGGATTGTAACACGATCTGAAAACAAATATAATTTATTCATTGTAATTTATTAATTACATTTCTTTCAACTTTCTTGTTCTCTTAATTTTAATAGAACAAAAAATAATAAAATATAATGATAGAAAAATTAATAATAGTAATTGTTAATAATATATAAAACATATATTTTTAAATAAGATACATTTGAAAATTGCTTTGAAAACCAAAAATTAAGGATAAATATTTACAAAAAAATACACTTCAATTTTGATAATTTTTTAATATTTTATCAAAATCATCACTCATAATAATATTAGTTTAATATATAATTAAATTAATTTAATGATTATTCTTAAACGATTATCAAAATTTGTTCATAAAAATTTTAAATAAATTTTTTTTTTAAATAAATTAAAAAAAATTAATCAAATCTAAATTTATGATAATAATAAAATTAAACGATATTGGCATAATTTTTGTTCAAAAATGTGAAGAACGAGACTAAACTAAAAAAATAAAAGAATGAGATTAATGAGATAAAATCGTGAATAAAAATTAATTTTCAGAGGGATATATAATTTAAATCGTAAAAAAGTAGGGAATTACCTTGTGCTCCAAGAGAATCAATGTGAGGACTTTCAAGCATATGTCAACGCCAAGAAGTTCCAGGGGTAGATGCAGAGGGAAATCAACAAGAGAAAATCTAGTGTGATCTGGGAGTGCAAAACAGAGTGGTGGCTGCATACTTTGCGACACGATCTCGATCTCGACGCGTGTTTTTGTTGGAACTGGAACAGGACTGCTTAACAATCGCAATATCCATGTCTCGATCTCACGAACATCGTGCAACACTATCGATGGTGTTCCCTCCAGTGTTTGACCCGTTAAAACGCTCCACACTGTATCTCTATTAATCGTAATAAACATAATTTTTCTTTTTTAATAATACATTACAAAATATTTATATAAATTAATTAAATTATCGTCTTTAAACAATTTTTAAATCATATTTTTATATTGTAATAAGAAGATCTTTTCATATTTATGCAGAAGTATTTTTAAAATTTAAATAACCCTAATTATTTTTTTTAATTAATTATTTTTTCATTTCCATCAAAGGAATTATTATTTATTCAAACTATAAAATTTTTTAAAATAAATATTTATTATTATATATTATATTTATTATTATGTATTAAATATATTTAATTTATTCTTAATATATATTTAAATATTCTATCTTTCAATCAAAAAATAATTTTAATTATTACTTTAAATTATAAAAGTAAAGAAAGAAGTTTATCATATAAAATAATTATAATAAATTATGTGTCTTAATATATACAAATTTAAATAAAAAAATAATATTAAAATATAATTAAAAATTATAACAGTAAAAAAATTTTACTAGTTTTACACGTAAAAGATTTATTTCCTAACTATCATTAAAAAATATCACTATGATAATATTTAATTATGAAAATATGTACCACTCAGAGTCATATTGAAAGAAAAAAAGAAAAATGAATAACTTATACGAATTGCAAAGTGAAGATTTGAATATTCATAAACGAAAAATTAATCGAGTAAATAATCGGGAAAAAAATAGATTCAAGTATTTTGCAAATAATTATGGATTAATTAATACTTTACCTGTTAGTTTGTCTAGAAGCACCAACTTTCTGCGGCGAGGAACTCTCATTGCACGCGTCGATAATCTTCTTTAATACGAAAAGGCATTCCCGGAACATTGAAAAGAATGGATGATGAGAGATGATACATAACGACGTGAGCGAGTGATTTCGTATTCTCTGAAAGCATACACATGAATAATTGTAAATTATCTCGTATTCATTTCGTATCGATCGATTTATTAAGTTCGTTTGTCGAACTTAATATACCTCGAATGAATGGTACAATAAGCTTGAAATAGCTTGTATTTCCGGAGAAATTGAAATTAATTCATTCTTCTATTCAGATGTTTCGTTTTTATCAATTGGATATTGACAACATAATGCTCGTATATAATTTTATTGCATTATTTGAACATTTGTAGAAATTATAAATTTTCTTGAATAGTATAGAAAAGAATATTTTTAATTTTTTAGAAAAATTATTTCTATTGTAATTGTTTTTAGGAACATTATAATTATTAAATTAATTAGTATAAAAATCTTTAAAAATTAACATAGATACAACTATTACTATTATAATTTTAATTAACTGGAAATTTCAAAATTGTTCAAAATTAATTTAATTAAATATTTATTAAATAAAAATTCTATAATTATTTTAAAAACAATTCTAAAATTGATAAATTAATCATATTCGTAATTTAATTATAATCTATTAATCAATCAGCAATATTAAAATTAATAAATTTATTTACTTATAATTTCAAATTTAATTAATAATAATTTAATAATAAATTAATCAAAGAAATATAAATTTCATATTAAAGAAAAAAATATCTATTTTACAATAATGAGATTTACCTGTCGTCTACGTGAAGCACGTGGAGATGGAGAATGACTTCCTCCACTTTCACTGTCTCCACTTGGTGCAGTGATACCTAATCTCGGTGCACTTGGAATATGCGAAGTGTCAGAGTCTCTTCTACTACTCGGACAATCTTTTTCAGAGTCACTAGGACCAATTGCACTGCTCCTATAGTCGCTATAAAGAACAGCTAGAGATACAGTCTTATAATTACAGAAAGTGTTTTCTTTAATTGGTTATACAATATTCATATTCATATATACAAATTCATCATTCGACATGAATAATGAAAGAATTCGAATATAAATTCAATAAATATTTGTAAAATTTTCAATAATTCTTTCTTTTTAAAACTTGTTTCATGTTTTACATGTTTGTTGTTTTATTAATAATTTAAATATTAATAAAATTCTGGCATCAATTTTGAAGGATTTTCTAAGTATTTATTCTTATTTAAGTATTAAATAAATATTTAATCTTATTTTTGATGTTAACATTTCGTAAAAAAAAAAAAGAATATTAGTAATTTAAAATACAAATTTAAACTTTTCAATTTTTTTTAGTTAGTTTTTTTAACTATTTTTAAAGAATAAAATATTTGGACAGGAAGATAAAAAGTGACAGAATGATGTTTTTAATGATGTTTCATAAAATAAGATTATAATGTGTTATAATAATGTATAATAATGAATAAAATAATGTGTTATATTTCACCTAGAAAAGGCAGAATCTGTGCTCTTTTCCATACTTTTCCTCCAACTTTCCCTTCGAAATGTGGTATTGTATTTGTCTCTTTTCATTGAGACCCCACTTCCAACTGCAACTCCTACCCTTTCTATTGGTCGATAAAAATTTACACAGATCCCATAGCGAGTTTTCCCTAAAATAACATAAAATTATATTTTATGCAAAAATATTTTATACATCATAAACATCAATATTTTAAAAAACAAAAGAAACATGTATAATTTTAATTTTAATAATTTATATTCCTATAATAAATAGGAAATGAATTAAAATATTTATACAAATGTTCTATAAACTATTTTATTTTATTTTAGTCTCCAGATTATTGATTCTTAATCTAAATCAATAAAACCATAAAATTCTTATGCATACAAATAAATGATTTAAAAAATTATATATTAATTTATTTATTATAAATCTCTTTTCTTAAAGTTTAAAGATTGTTAATAATCAATATTTTAATTTTTAAATTTCTTTATAAATTTCAAATTATATTTTGGAGGTCTTCAATAACGAAAAATTATTTATATATATAAAACGAAAAAAAGTTTGTGATAAATAAAAGATTAAGAATCATTGTTGTAGATCAATATATTAATAATTGTAGAATAATAAAAAAAAAATACCGGAATCTTTATCCGTGAGTGTAAAAGTAAAGGAAGTAGCCTCTCGTAAAGCTGTGCGTTTCGGGCCCACGCTAGTGCAACCTTCAGGTTGGCAGAAATAAACCATATCCAACGGTAATGGAAAATCTTTGTGATCTTCCACCGGATATCTTCGCAATAATTCTGGAACCTGTAATCATATGTACATTCATAAACTCTCCAAATAATACAAATACTACCCACAAATCTCAATTCTGTATTAATTTGTATAAATAATATAAAGCTATATATATAACTTTACAAAATAATAATCTAATCATGGATTTCAATTATATTAATTTCTAATATTTCTCTGCAAAAGTATAGATATTATTATTGTTGTTGTTGTTGTTGTTGTTGTTGTTGTTATATATTATTATATTTATATAATAATATAATTAGTATAATATTCTATGAATTCAGACTTGAAAATTTTTCTTCTTTCTTTTAAGTTTTATTTTTGATATTATAACTATTAATCTTATTTTTATATAATCTTAAGTATCATTGCATTAATCAGTATCATTATTTCATCCTGATTAGTACATGAAATATATGAAAATAATAACAAATAAAATAAAATTGATAAGAAATATTAATGAATATTAAAAAAGAAAATCAATTTTGCGAGTTAAGAAAAACAAAATAGATTGTTATAATATATTATATTCAATATTAACAATTTTATCACTTATTTTTAAATGATATTATCTTGCAGAATTTATTTTAAAATATTTAAAGTATATATAGTATATATAGTATATATAAAGTATATATAGCATATATTTTTCTCAAGAATAAGTTACATTTATACCTTTTTTAATTAATATAATATATATATAATATATATAATATAATATATATAATATATATAATATAATATATATAATATATATAATATAATATAATCATACAATATAGAAGATTGAAAATAAATTGTTTTGCTTTTAATCCAACTACTAAAACTATTTAATTTATATAAATGTAAATATAAAAAACTATTTAATTTATAAAAATACCAAATATAAAAAATATATTATACAAGCTATTTGAAATTACTTATTTTATTGAATAAAAAATCTATATAAATCTTCCAATCTAATATTATAATTTATTAAAAAATATTCTATGGAATATTCCAAATGTTTGAATAAAATACTGTCTAAATGTCCAATTTGTAGAGTTGGACAAAATTACAAATTAATGGTTTAAAGATAAGTATATACCTGCACAGGCTGACGAGAGACTGAGGGCAGTCTGGCCCCCACAATGGCGAGATAATCCACCAAGCGGGGGCACAGGTGCTTTTTTTGTATATCCATCGCTGTAATTTACAGCTCTGTCACCGTTTTATGCAATGTGCACGAGTTATCTGAGCCATCGGCTTTTTATCAGGATCGCCTCCTGATCGGTTCATGACTATATCATTCTTCACTTGGTCTTTCACATCTGGAAACAAAAGAGTCGATTATTAAATTGAGTTTTCTTCAGAAAATTAAAACCTATTTAATTTACTCTTTGTTCTTCTGTACAGGAAAAGATTTGCCTTGATATCGTGTCTCCTTTTACCTTTTAATCGATTCCTTCAATTTGAAAGAATTTATTAAAATATTCTATAATTTTTTATTTTCTAAATTTGTATTTAGAAAATTTCTACTCATATTTTTAGGTTTATTTAATATAGATTATTATTATTTAGATTATTATTATATTTAAGAAATTTTTATTTGTGGAAAATTACATTTAATAAATTCTTATTTCTTGTGTATTTACAAATATTTTTATTTTATTTAAAAAATTTTCATTGAAAAAGTTTTTGTTTCAAAATTTTCTGTATTGAAATAAAAATTTCAAAAATCTATATCTCAACAATTTGTATAAAATTATATATTTTGAGAATTCGTTTTGAGAATTATATAACGATATTATATGCACAGATATAGGCTATACTATTTTTTTAATTCAATATAGAATTAAATATATCGTTCGACATCGTTATAAAAGATAGATACAAAGAATGAATTAGATCATGGAAACTTAATTGACGGTACAGTCTAATAGTATGAGAAATAATATTTGGAGCACGAGGCTCATTGATTTCTTGAGCCTCGTGACCTATATTGAGTTAACAAGAATCACAAAAACGCTCGAGCAACGTGCGCAAGGTTTAAGCTGAACTCAGCTTTTTTGAAACAATATTTAATTAAAGATTTTCTCAAAACAATGTAAAATTGACATTAACATTAACATTAATATTAAACAATATTTTTGAATTTAATCCAATTATAATTTAATAAAAAATATTATCAAAACTATTCTTTTATCATTTTTTCCAAATATTCTTCTTTTGAAACGAAATTTTATATTTTCAAGTCAAATCACTTTTGTAAAAATGAAGAAATAAAATGTGATTTATATCTATAATTAAATAAATAAACTATGTATGATAAATTTATAATATTTGTAATAAATAAAAAATATTTGATTATATTTTTTAATATATATATAATATATTATATATAATATATTATATAAGTTATATAACAAGCAGAGATTTATTAAAAGTTTATTAATAAATTCATAAATATTTTCATTTGTAACATTTTTTTAATAATCTCTGAAATACAAATAAAAATATAATGAAAAATAAACTATAATAAATCTATTGATAAGAAAATAATAAACAATCTATCTTCATTTTATTTTCTTTCATTAATTTTGAATATTGGAATATCACAATCCTGAATTATAATTGTATAATTTTCAATAATTCAAAATATTTCACAATAATTCAAGTTAAAAATAGAAATTTCGTCCTAAAAAAGGACAATTTATAATCGATATGTTCCTTAAAAGGTCCTGCGCGTTTGCGCAAAATAATACGCGAAATAGTAGTAACCAAAAATATTTTCACAATCTATCTCTTTTCTTTAATCTATATTTTTTCATTTCATTTTGTAATTTACAAAATCACACACTTTTTTCACATTTGTATAAAAAAGAATAATATAAACGGTATTTTTCACCGCAGATTATCCCATTTCCGGTTTTGTTATTTCGAATGAGATAAATGCAAAATGAGATAATCATGTAATAATTTTCTGGTATAGCCAAAAAATTTTAATAAAAATCAAAATCAAAATTATTAATTTGTTGCGAAATAGTCGAATTTTTAATCAAACTTTCAATGTTTAATTTCATTAAAAATAATAATAATAATGAAAATAAAATTGAAGAAATTTAAGATAATTTTATCATAGATAGAAAATAAATCAATTAATTATATTCAAATAATATATTAATTAAAATCTATAGTTAAAATTATTAATAACTTTTTTCTTTATTTTTAGCTATCTAAGATTACAATCTTTGTTGCAACATTTTATTTCTCATTTTTTTAAAATATATAAGAATATTCAATATATCATTTAATATGTTGTTATGATCAAATAAATCATGTTTCTATAATTTATTACATTTTTAATCTTAAGGAAACCTCATTCAATCCACTAATCAAACTTCAATCAATCAATGAATCCAAAATCTCAAAATTAATCTTAGAGATTATTAATTTTGCAAAATTTGCAAAACAGATACCAGATCTTTCTCGATTTGAAACGAACGTTTTCAAAATATTATTCAATTGAATTTCAATTATTCAAAATATTTTATGACATTTTAAAAAAATTTTTCAAAATGTTTATTAGATATTGAAGAATATATAAAGTATTTAAACAAGTAATCTTGTTACGATTTTGTATTATTTTAACTCTATATACTTTTCAAGATGCAATTTTAAATGACATTGAATATATGATCTAAATATTAAAAAATATAAAATTGTGAAATTTCATTGAAATTTTGCAACAATGATTTTATATATTTTCAATAGATTTATATTTTTAATTTAATTTATATTTTTAATTTAAATTTTTAATAATATATAAATAATCATAATTTTAATATGTGACATGTAATTTTTTTATATATATTTTTAATAGTAGAGTTACATAATCCTCTATATTATATTATTAAAAATATAAAACTACAATAAAATATTAAATATAAAACCTCAAACCAATACGAAACAAATAATAATAATAATAATAATTTCTATGTGATATATATAACTTTAATGAAGAAAATTTTATTTCTATTATATATTATTCATATATAGTATTCATATATAGTATATAGTATTCATATTTTCGAGATCTTTATTTTGTTTCTTTATAATTATTTTAGCATATAAGAAGAAGCCTTATATAATAAATAAAAAACTTTAATAAAATTAAAATTAAAATTGAAGTTTGTTACAAATAATTTTTATCAAATCTTAAAATTATAATTAGTGTTACAAGTTTAATTATATAATAAAATAATGAATTAGAGCTATTATCAACAAGTTTATATTATTTATTATCAAGATAGAAGTTCTTAAATTAAAATGAAATTCATACAATAATGAATTAATATTGTACTTATAATGATTCGAAGAGACATCTTTGAAGAATTCTTAAAACTGCAGAAGAATTAAATGTATTAAATAGTTTTTTTGTTGCGAAATTTTAACATTATATTATTCAATCATTTGTATATTATTCAATGTCATTCAAGCTTGAAGAAGATTCTAAACATAAAATATTCATAAGAAATATTCCATGAATTTTCAGTAATATAAATATATAATTTTTAATGTGAATAAAGAATCTACTATTTTTGCAATTATTTCGCATTTAAGTCTGATCTTTGAAGTTGTCAAATCGCACAGTATCATAAAATTTTAATGTAACATCTGCATTAGATCTTATATTTTCAATATCTAGATCACAGATTCTTGCCATTCCATTATTAAAGATATAAATTGCATGAAAATTACTATCATTTTTGCAATTTAATTGTGTAATTTGTAAATTTATTATTTCTAATAATATATTAGACATTCAATTATTAGAAATAAAAATCTTCCAAATTATATATAATATAATATCATTGTATAATATATGGATATTTATTAATATGGATATTCTATTGATATTCCTTTCAATAATTCAGCAATTTATAAATTATTTTATCTGACTGTTAGAAACATAAATCAGTAAAATTCTACAATTTTGCAATTTACGAACTTTATATTACTAACAATACAACATACATAATAGAAAGAAATATATAATAAATATAAATTAATCAAAAAAAAATCCAATCTTACCATTGTTATCCACAAAAAAATTTCAAAAAATATCGTTATATTATTATTCACTTACGAATCAAATCTGTCAAATTTAACAGCGTCACCAATTTCGTTAAATTTCGACGACATTACACCGACCATATTTATTTCCAATATTCAATCATTCATATATCGCACGTTTGAAAACTTATATATAAATCTACATCCAAAATATGAAGAAAAAAGTTTATTGAATATAAGAGATCGCAAGACATCAGATTTCACTATACAAAGAGACTTACGTATCGTTGATAACGGAGATTCAAATAGAAAATCGCCGTTTTCATCCACACATTCACGAGACTACATTCCGTATCGCCTAAATGACGATACCACACTGGCGATCGTTCGCGGCGCAGCTACTAGGCAGGCGTACGACCAGGGGCGACACTTGGAAAAACGAGTTCCCCTGACGTCTGTCCGGGACCGACGTTTTTCCACCTTTTTAATTGCCCTTTAAAAATTTTTCGATCGATAGGGCGTTAAAGGCATAAGGGAAAAAAGTGTTTCTGAGCAAGAAAAAGTCCGTACGTTTTGAAGGGCTTTTTTCTTCTTCAAGAGTGGTTTCATTGAAAAAAGTCTTGCATGGAAGTGGAATTTGGAGAAAGTTAAAAGAGGAATTGGTGTGAAATTTTTTTGGTTTAATAAAGTTTATGAGAGAAATTTTTGTTTATGATAATTGAGATAATTAAAAATAATTTTTTGAGAGAAACGGTGGAAAAATTTTAATTTTTAGATTAGATTGTACGTTAATGAATAAGAATAAGAAGGTGTATCTTTTAAGTTTATATTTTTTTAGATTTGATTTCTAGGAAATTTTTGATTTTAATTGTACATTAATATTAATTAATAATTTTAATTGTACATTAATAAAATGAAAAGAAATTTAAATTAAATTTTTTCGAATTTATAAAATATTTTTAAATATATAATTGAAAAAGTTGAAAATCTCATAAGAAATTTTAGTTTTAATTGTATGTTAATAAATAAAATAAAAAAAAAATTTTTCTTTGGTTTATGTCAATAAAAAAAAAGTTGAAATTAATCTATAATAGAAGAATATTAATTTATATATATATATATATATATATCATATTTATATATGATAATAAATTAAATGAAAAAAAGATATGAATTAAATTTTTTTTTTATTTACACAAAACTTTTGTATAACTTTTTATATAACTAAAAAAAGTAGAAATAATCTAAAAAATAAAAAATATGTTGATAAATAAAATGAAAAATTTGCATTAAAGTTTTATAATCTTTTATTATTGACGAAATTTTTTTATTGTATAATTAAAACAGTTGAAAATAGTTATCTTAAGAAATAAAGAATAATGAAAGAATTTTAGTTTCATTGTATTTTGATGAAGAAAAAAAAGAACATTTTTGTATAAAATTTTTAATATATAATTGAAAGGATTGAAAATAATTTTTTAATAGAAAGAATGAATTATGAAAGAATTTTGATTAATTTTATAATTTGATAATTTAAGTAGATAAGATTAATAATAATAAAAAAAATAATAATTGTAAAGATAATATTAAAAAAGAAATATTAAAAAAGAATATTATAAAAATTAAAAATTTTATATGTTTCAATATAAATATGATAAATATAATAATAAATTAAATTAACAATATAAGGAAAAGAAGGATAAATTTTGTTCCTTATTTTCAATATAATAATCAATATAATATTTTAATTTAATATTATATACAGAATAAACAATGATAGAAATATTTGTCCCAATTATACATAAATAGAGAAATGAAATTAATCAGTGTTAATTCATGTTCGTGTTTACAATATTATTAATAGTAAAAATTTAAGCAATAATATGAATAATCATTTATCTGAAAAAATAGATAACTACTTTTATCATAAAACTGTATAATCTTCCGATTTTAAAGTTTAAACAACATTGAAAAGTTTGTTTTCCCAATGCAACTATCATGTAATCCTGATGAGGATGAATTGATTATTTAGTTCAAGGATAATACTTGCATTCTAAGTATTACCTTGACATAGAATAAGGAAAAAAATTTTTTAAATTCTGAATTAATTTATTTCAAACAATCTTATTTCAATAATAATCTTAAAAATAATTTAAAAAAAAAATTAAAAAACATAATATATTTTATTCAAAAATTTTAAAAATAAAAAATATTCAAGAAAAACAGAAAATAGTAAACAATTTTTATCTAAGAAAATTCTTTTTTAAAAAAAATATATTGAAGAAAATAGATATACTATTCGAAAAATCTTACAATAAATTTATAAAATATAATAAAATGTAAAATACAAAATCATTCGTTATTTTCTTATTCTTTTAATATGTCTTTTCATTAACAAAAATATTTTAATAAAGATATTTTTTATATTTTTTAAAATTTTATTAATTTTTTATATTATATCAATATCTTAAAAAAATTATATTAAAAATATTTAAAAAAATTGGTCATATTATTTTCGCCGAATTCAATTGGTAATCAAAAATAATGTATTGGTATAAAAATTATGCAACATATATATATATATATATATCGAATAAAAAAAAAGAAACGTAAGTTTCGTGAGAGATTGAAAGAATAAAAGAAACCAAGAGTTATTCAAAAATTTAACTTCTAATTTGATCCAAACAATTGAAAAACTTTTTTCTCAACAATTTCAATCAAAAATTACTAAATTGTTTTAAGGAATTCTAAATAAAACATAAAAATAAAACATAAAAATAAAACATAACAAATAAAAAAGGAAAAATCCATATTCTTTTATAATATATTATATTCTTTTATAACAATAACAAATATTTATCTTTATTTCTCTTTGTTCTTTTTATTCTTCTTTTGTTTCTTCTTTCTTTCACAAAAAATTATATATTATATAATATTTTAAATAGTATTATAAATTCTAAACATTTTTTAAACAAATTTTAAAATATATACATATGATGAAATGTATAATTTTGTTTTTTAAATAATTTAAATTCTAAAATTTTTATTAATATTCTGTTTTCACAAAATAATATGCTTTCAAATCAGTTTTATTGGCTTTTTATGATTTGAATATATAAATTTTGTAATGAAATATGTAACAACTTTTTTTAATTTTCTTCTTCTCTTGACATTTTCTGTTAATTTAATAAATCAAATTAATTTTCTTTTCTTCTAATAATCCTCTTTCTTTTTTAAGATTCATTATTCAAAATGTGCTTATATTTTCTTTTATTATATTATTCTATTTACTATTTATAATAATTTATTATTTATTATAATTATGATATTTATAAATATTATATGTTGATTATATATATAAAATATACAAAATAAATTAAAATTTTATTAAAATTAATAAAAAAAAAAGGTCGTTGAATTAATTATAATTATATTTAATGTAATTGTAATTAAATGTATTAAATTAATAAATTGTATTAAATAATTATATTTAATGTTCATGGAAATATAAATGATTATATTGAAGTGAATAAAAAAATTATACTTTCTTTAGTTATTAGCTGGTAAATTAATTGTTTCTCGCAATTTTTATTACTATACACATATCAGTTTATTAATGTCATATAATATATTTATCATCCATATACATGTATCTACAGGAGCATCAAATCATGTCTATAAACCATGAATGTTTCAATTGTATTATTAATTGTTTCGAAATTGATTATTGCAACATCTATCAACATCTAATCAAACAGTCCTTTCAATTTCCGTAAATCAATTAAAATTTTGTTCAAAATAAATCTATATGAAAAGTTTAATTAAATATATTTGAAAATTATATTAAAACTTTTTCTGCAAAAAAAATTTACGAATCATTAACATAAATGATAATTATATCTATTTGGAAAAGAATTTTAATTTTACTATTTTATATTATTTTTACTAAATTATATTATATTATATTAATTTTACTAAAAAAATTTATATATTAATTTTACTAAAAAAAAATTTACTATTTTTCTAAATATAGTTTTTCATAATCTATATTTTATTTTATAATAATATATATAAATTTTTAAGTCTAAAAAATATTTAATTAAACAAATTATTAATTATATTTTATATACATATATATATATATATATATATATATATCTTTGAAATCTAAAAATGTATAATTCCAAATTCACTTTATATCAGAATTTTCTACTTATAATTTTCAGAATCTATATTCCTGATATTTTCTAAAAAGACTCAAAAGTAATTTCATATTTCCTTGAATTGCAAAAGCTTACAATGTCAAATATATGTTTATATCAATGTTATATTTTTATAGTCAATTATATTTTTTTTATTTAATACTTTAAAAAGAATATAGAAAATTTTTTTTTACTTTTAAAATTGTCTCTGAATATATTTATCTTTTAAAATTTCCCGAACTAAAAACAAAAAAAAAAGATTATCTAAAAATTTATATTGTAAAATTTTAATTTGTTTAAAAATAAAAATTGCATAAAATATCTAGAAGTCAATTTCAGTGTACGAAATCTAAAAAAAAGTTGGATAAGTTTAACATAATTAAAATCTATGTAAGCAGTGTCACCGACTGTATAATACAATGTTAACACCTTCTGAATGACTATCCTAAACACTTGGCCCAAGGAACTATTTACAATTCTCGGGAATAGATGGCCTCATTGCATAGACATATCCATTATCAGTTGGATCAATAACGCTGACAAGCTTAGCTGGAAGTTCAGAAATGTGGAGGTGGAAGAACAGGGACGTAACCACGCTTGAAAGATTCAAAAGAGCTCTTACAATTAGGTTGATTAAATAATAATCAATTGTATTTTAATTAAATAATAATCAATTATGTCTTGATTAAATTTAAATAAAAACTATAATTTGAAGAATTATATAAAATAATCTATTTAATTTTCAATTCAATACAACTCGTGTGAATATTCAAATATATATATATATATATATATATATATATATAGGATTGAAAATGAAATAATATATATAATATTTGATACATAATTTAATACAAATATAGAAATTATCATTTTTATTTTTTGATATTAGATTTTTGCGAAAATTATTTTGATTATGATATGATATTAAAAACGAAAATATTAAAATTCGTTTTGTAAATATTAATAATAATAAAAATATTACTTATTATTAATATTTAACTTCTGAAAAAAAATGTACATTAATGATTGAAAAAATCTTTTGTTATGTACATATAAATTATCAAGAATGATATTAATTCATAAAAAAACATACTAGATACAAACAATGATCGCTCGAGTGTCGCCAAGTGCCGACTGATTCATACCGATTTTAACCGCGCATTTTCTATATTCTTCT